ACTGGACAGATACGGACACCATCACAATCCGTTATTGGATCTGCTAAATGGACCTTCCTAGAAATACTGGACAGATACGGACACCATCACAATCCGTTATTGGATCTGCTCAACGGACCTTCCCGGAAATACTGAACAGATACTGACACTAACGCTAAACCTCCGCAGTAACGAGCATGTTGAGCTGGTAGCTCTGTGGGTGAGTTATAGAGACCCAGATCGCTCCGGTAAATTCAGGCTGACATTAAACTATATACAAAGACCAACTGCCCACCCAATTTCTTAAATAAAAATAAACTTTAAATCGCACCATAATTTTATTAAAATCCAAATTGATATATAGACACATATATGTACAAATCACAGGGATATGGAAGCAGTAAGTTATAAATTCCTCAGTATAGTCTATATATACAAAAGGATGCAGAGTATAATGTCTGTGTGTTAAATCAATACATGGAATAAATGACTGAAAACTAAATATAAAAAACTCCTGTACAAAGTGTTTTACCTCCTTGTGTAGATACATAAATGATAAAGTGATAAGTGATAAAATGACACCAGAAGCTCCCAATGTTTCGGCCTGAATAGCCTTCATTAAGGGTGATGCTTGGGCTAAAAATAAATATAAAAAGACAAGCTCTCCTCCCTTCTCCCGGCCTCAAGGTATAGATAATATTTTATGTGTTAGTCTAATGTGAGCCTGGATTTACATTGCTTTTGTGGCATTAACCATCTGGCTATTATATTCAGGTTATATTTATCCTAAGAGGATCCATTTTGCCCTGATATTTTGTGGACTTTCTGGACTTAAACATTAATTTCAATTCATTTAAATTTGTGATATTAATATATAATATAATTTACATGTATTTTATTCTATTTTAAGAGGTTGCTATACCCCAGTAACTTGCCCTTTGGAGATGCTCTGACCAAGTTGTCTAGCCTTCACTGTTTGGTCTTTATCAAAGTCCTCAGATCTTTTCTCTTGTCCATTTTTTCCTCCTTTTCTTTGTCCATTTTTCCCCCACCCATTAAGCATGTTTCCTCCTGCCAACACATGAAATTCAAGAATTGACTGTTCACTTGCTGCCCAATATCCCATCCCTTGACAGGTGGCATTGTAACGATATAATCAATGTTATTCACTTCAACTGTCAGTGGTTTAATGTTGTGGCTGATCAGTGTATGTCCTTTCACCTCTCATTAAATCCCTCTCCCATCATTTACACCAAACCTTACAAAACAAACTTACACAATGAAGGGCAAAACACACAAAGTGTAGGGGTGGTAGCGGAAATATCAGTGCAACTCCACAGTGTTTTAAAACCACTTAAAAAACACAAGTAAAACAATATATAAATATATAAATATCCAACATGGTGATTATTGTTTTATGCACTTTGAAAAAGACTCTACTTTAGTCGAAACGCGTTAGTGCTGCTATTCTTTTTTATGCTCTTTATATATGTCCCTGTATATTTGTGAATGCTATTAAATTTTGAAAAGTATCCCCACTCTTTATTGGAATTATTACATCTTCTGTATCCTGGCACAAGTGGAGAGTCCTGGAGACGTGGTGGAGTTCAGCATACCAGGGAATTATTAAAGAGCAACTATAGTCAGAGCCTACTAAATGTGGATCTTTTTGTATATAGGTTACATTTAAAGGACTGACCAGTGTCTCTAAGTATACCATATACATTTGTATTTGCACTCCTCTATCTCTATCCTTTACTTGTAATTTACACCAAACCTGTACATCCCCACCCACCTTCCAGTCACCTACACCCAGCCTGGATATTCCCACCTACCTCTATGTCACCTACACCCAGCCTGGATATTCCCACCTACCTCTATGTCACCTACACCCAGCCTGGATATTCCCACCTACCTCTATGTCACCTACACCCAGCCTGGATATTCCCACCTACCTCTAGGTCACCTACACCCAGCCTGGATATTCTCACCTACTTCTAGGTCACCTACACCCAGCCTTGACATCCCCACCCGCCTTCCAGTCACCTACACCCAGCCTGGATATTCCCACCTACCTCCAGGTCACCTACAACCAGCCTGGACACATGATTCTCATATAGTCAATGATTTAACTCCAAACTGGTTTAAATCTAAATTACATAATGTATCCTTGTAACTCATCTGGAAACATTCTCCTATTCAGCTATAAAGCTATAAGGGGGTGAGCAAAGGGAGGGCTGATTTAATCACATCCACATAGGTAACTAAAAACATCCTGCATCCAGGTGCAACTGACCCCTGGCTCACCCCGACCAAATTATCTCGGAAATTGTAACGCATATCCCAAAAGTATATTAAATAGTAATGTCATCTAACTAGCAAACTGAAATGGAGAAGATTATCATAAAATGCCCTAACCTTCAAAACCATATAAACAAAAGATTACCAACATTAATTCAATATAGAATGAACCATGTAGAATGAACAATATGTTAGCATAACAGTACAGGTGTGCAATGAAGAATGCGTAGCCAGAACTAGCAAAACAAAACATACACAAAAATATTTTTATTTATTTATTTACAATTTAACAGTAGTTGGCACAAGGCCCACATGCAGTCGTTTCTATCGGTCGCAGAACACGGAGGTGGTCCTGGTGCAAGACTTTTTTTTTGCTCTCACAATGCTTTGCAAGCTAGGGATCAACCATTTGTCCATTCTTACAGGGTTGTATTTAGCACCGAGCAGTGTTTGTGTGTTTGAATGTAAGCATGTTTTTGTATGGTGTATGTGTGAGTGAATGTAAGGGTGTATTTGTATGTAGTGTTGTGTGTTTTTATGTACTGTTGCCATTTGAAAGCAGTGGATTACTTGTGTAATACCCACACCCACACATAGATAGACACACTGACACACACCCAGTTTCACAGACACAGAGAAAGACACATAGATACACACACACTGACACACACACAGTTTCACAGACACACAGAAAGACACAGAGATATACACATTGACACACCCAGTTTCACAGACACACAGAAAGACACAGAGATACACACACTGACACACACACAGTTTCACAAACAGAGAAAGACACATAGATACACACACACTGACACACACAGTTTCACAGACAAACAGAAAGACACAGATATACACACACTGACACACACACAGTTTCACAGACACACAAAAAAACACAGAGATATACACACTGACACACACACACAGTTTCACAGACACACAGAAAGACACAGAGATACACACACTGACTCACACATAGTTTCACAGACACACAGAAAGACACTGAGATACACACACACAGTTTCACAGACACACAGAAAGACACAGAGATACACACACTGACCAACTGGAAAGTTTCACAGATACAGAGAAAGATACATAGATACACACAGTGACATACATATAGATGCAAAGACACACAGATACATTCCCAGCATCCCTAGATTGTGAAGGACAGGCCATGGATGACTTAGTCTTCAAATAAAAAGGTGTTACTTAGCAGAAAAAATAAAATTCTTCTGTGGTGTCTGTCTCTTGATACGGTGTCTGCAACAAGAAGTGATATGTAATTAGTTTAGCATCATATGGCATTGCCTACTTCTTACTTATAAATAAGAATGTACAGCTTATTATGGTCACAGTGATGGTGAGGAGTAATTATTATTATTATTGGCATTTATATAGTGCCAATAGATTCCGTACCGCTTTACAATATTATAAGAAGGGGTATTTAACAAAAAGTAAGGCAATTACAAAAAACTTACAGGAATGATAGGTTGAAGGGGACCCTGGACAAATGAGCCTACAGTCTATAGGAGGTGGGGTGTAAAACACAAAACGACAGGAGATAGCAATCAAAAAGGGTAGGAGTGAAGCAAAACTGGAGGAGAGATAGAGTGCTACCCTTTAGGAGAGAGCAATAGACATGTATGTGAGGTAGAGGTTCCTCTGGGAGGCCATAAGCTTTCCTAAAGTGATGGGTTTTAAGGTACTTTTTAAAAGATTGAAGAGTAGGGGAGAGTCTGATGGTGGTAGGCAGGCTATTCCAAAGGAAAGGAGCCACCTGTCAGGTCCCCTGCCCCCGTGCTGCTCGCGGCGACCTTGCTTACCTCATCACAGCGAGCAACATGTGACCTTGCAAACAGTGATGACCTCAAAGACCACAAGGGAGGGAAGAAACTCCTCCCACGTGTTGTGGTTAACACTAATTGGAGATTAGCCAATCAGACACACCCTGTGTGTATATAAGCTAACCTCTCCGTTGCCTCAGTGCCCTGTTGTGGTCTTTGGTTTACCATTGAGCGTTGCACTTGTTATTTGGATTTCCTGGTTTCCTGGAGATATTTGGCTTTGTCTCTGTTTCCCTTGACCTCGGTTCATGTTTTGACTATCCCTTTTTGCATAACCCGACCATTCTAAGGATCGGTATTTCAATTCTCTCTACTCTGTCCTGTCTGCATGTTAGGGTTCCCTAGTGAACGTTACACCACCTGCGAGAAGTCCTGCAAGCGTGAATTGGCCTTACAGGTGCAAGCAGCAGACAGGATAAGGTCATGGGTAGAGCATAGAGATTGAGAAGGGGCATACCTATGGATCTGTGAGGAGATGTAGGAGGGGATAGAATTGTTCAATGCTTATAGGTATGGGTTAGTACTTTGAATTGACTCCTATAGGATACAGGAATCCAAAGTAAGGAATGACATGGGGGAGAGGTGTGAGAGGAGCGACTGGAGAGGAAAATCAGTCTGGCAGCAACATTCATTACAGACTGTAGTGGGGCAATGTGGCTTTTGGGAAGACCAATTAGGAGAGGGTTACAATAATCCATGCGAGAGATTACTAGACAAGGACAAGGTCCTTAGTAGCATCTTGCATAAGATGGAGGCGGATGTAGGCTATGTTTTTAAGATGGAATCTACAGGATTTGGATGCAAAGATATACAGATACACACATACCATAGGAGAACATGGTCTTTTTGATGTTCAAACTGCTGCTATAGTTTGACCAACATGTGGCCATCACCATCTTCTTTGCTGGACATCTTTTCTTTTCTTTCATTACCGACATTCCTAGATTGTGAAGGACAGGCCATGGATGACTTAGTCTTGAAAAAAAGAGGTGTTACTTAGCAGAAAAAAATTAATTCTTCTGTGGTGTCTGTCTCTTGATACGGTGTCTGCAACAAGAAATGATATGTAATTAGTTTAGCATCATATGGCATTGCCTACTTCTTACATATAAATAACAATGTACTGTTTATTATGGTCACAGTGATGGTGGGGAGCAATTATTATTATTGGCATTTATATAGTGCCAATAGATTCTGTATCGCTTTACAATATTATAAGGGGGGTATTTAACAATAAGTAAGACAATTACAAAAACTTACAGGAATGATAGGTTGAAGAGAACACTGCACAAACAAGCTTACAGTCTATAGGAGGTGGGGTATAAAACACAATATGACAGGATATAGCAATCAAAAAGAGTAGGAGTGAAGCAAAACTGGAGGAGAGATAGAGTGCTGCTTTTTAGGAGAGAGCAAGGGACAGGTATGTGAGGTAGAGGTTCATCTGGGAGGCCATACGCTTTCCTAAAGTGATGGGTTTTAAGGCACTTTTTAAAGATTGAAGACTAAAGGAGAGTCTGATGGGGGTAGGCAGGCTATTCCTAAGGAAAAGAGCCATCCGTGAGAAGTCCTGCAAGCGTGAATTGGCGTTAAAGGTGCAAGCAGCAGACAGGAGAAGGTCATGGGCAGAGCGTAGAGATCGAGAAGGGGCATACCTACGGATCTGTGAGGAGATGTAGGAGGGGATAAAATTGTTCAATGCTTTATAGGTATGGATTAGTACTTTGAATTGATTCCTATAGGATACAGGAAGTCAATGTAAAGACTGGCAGAGGGGTGAGGTGTGAGAGGACCAACTGGAAAGGAAAATCAGTCTGGCAGCAATATTCATTACAGACTGTAGCAGGGCAATACGGCTTTTGGGAAGACCAATTAGGAGAGGGTTACAATAATCCAAGCGAGAGATCACTAGAGCATGGACAAGCTGCTTGGTAGCATCTTGCATAAAAAAGAAGCGCATGCGGACTATGTTTTTAAGATGGAATCTACAGGATTTGGTAAAAGACTGGATGTGAGACTCAAAGGTGAGGCCAGAATCAAGTATGATGCCAAGACAGTGCGCTTGCAAGGATGGACTGATGTGGGTTCCATCAACTTGAAGGGAAAGCGAGAGAGGATAATCAATATTAGTAGGAGGAAAGACAAGAAGTTCAGTTTTAGAGAGATTGAGTTTCAGAAAGTGGAAGGACATGCAGTCAGCGATGGAAGAAGGGCAAGCAGTGACACATTGCAGGATGGCAGGGGAGAGGTACGGGGAGGAGAGATATATCTTGGTGTCATCGGCGTACAGGTGGTAGTGGAATCCAAATGAGGTAATAAGTTTGCCAAGAGATGCAGTATAAAAAGAAAATAGAAGGGGATCAAGGACAGAGCCTTGGGTGACTCCAATCGAGACAGGACGAAGGGAGGAGGTGTCATTAGAAAAGGAGACACTGAATGAGCATTGGGACAGATAGGAGGAAAAACACGAGAGGACAGTGTCACAGAGACACAGAGTGATTGAAGAGTTTGAAGAAGTAGAACATGATCAACAGGGTTAGCAATTAATAAATAAATAAATATATAAAATTCTTTTTAAATGGAACCCTTCTCTTGGATATGATTACTGGTGGATCAAGGAATCGGTTTTCATGCTGTTGTGGTGGAATTATTATTCTTTATAATCTTTCCTCAGTTTGTAAATACTGATTATTTGTGTACTTACCAGCAATGACAAGAATGGACAGGTCACTTTGCCCCTCTCTAGATCTTCCCAATTAATGTTTGTGTAGAAGGGGTGCCCCCGAATGTTCCTTCCTGCCACAGCACGTGCATTAGGATCCTTATCCAGGAGCTAGTAAGAGAGAGAGCATACACTGAGTATAATTTACTTTATATCTCTGAACTGTAACACTTTGATGTACAAACTTTAATGCATTCAAAACCAATCACCTCTGATGGAGGACGCCATTTTAACCTTCTAACAAACCTCAGATGAGGCAGTGCTTAGGAAAAGTTTGTGGTAAATGTGTTACATTAACTAAAATCTCGATTATATGACTGATCAGCAAATTAAATTTTTTGTAAATAATGTTTTTTTTAATTTAGATTTCCTCTTGTGTTGTCCGGAACATAAAATGGCTGCATGATCTGTCTGTCGGTTGCAGGCAGAGAGTAATAAATAGGATTAATAAATGAAAAGAAGAAAATAGGCTCTGATCCAGAAGTCCCAAAACAATGAGGGACCAATGGAGCAGTGCCAAAGGATGCCCACTGTTACTCTCCCTAAATCTGGGGAATAACACACAATGTACAAAGTAAAGATAAGAGTGGACTGGAGTGTCCTAGTGGGAGAGTTAACATAAAAAGAAGAGGGGGAAAAAGCAGATTTTTGGGGATTTCTACGGGTATCCGTGTACGCAATTATATACGCTGATAATATTAATAACTAGTTGTCTCTCACCTTGTCCTGTTTTAGGGTTCTGATACTTTTCCACACTATTGTTTTTCCCCTAGGATTATTAAAAGGTATGGCTTCCCTCTGCTTTTTTCCCCTCTTCTTTTTATGTTACCTCTCCCACTAGGACACTCCAGTCCACTCTTACCCTTAATAAATAGGATTACGTATTGTAAATTAAATGTCAGTGTTTTTATCTGCCATCATTATTAAATGTTAGTATTAACCCATTAAACATCAGGATTTAAATCATTTCAGGCATTAGATAAACACCCCAGCACTCCATGCCGCTATCAAACCCGTGCAAAAGGGGGCGACAGCCATGAATGTGGAATACTGAAGCTTCTCAGCACGGAACACAAGTTACTTTCACTATTCCAGTTGGTTCTTTAACCTGTTTAGTACATACTCCAAGAAATATAACTAGTATCGATTCCCAGTAACACCCCCCCCCCCACCCATATCTCCACCAGTATTTTCTTTAATGTTTCTTTACATCCCCTATCATTACATCCAATTAAAACCTTAACCGGCACATTCTCTATCACCTTACCTTGTCCAGGAGGTCTGTAGGATTGCTGCACAGCCAGGTGGGGTAACGTGGGTCAGTGTTTAATACTTCCTTGATGTACTCCTGTCGGCTGAGCTTGTTATTAAATGGGAACTTTCCGGTGATCATGCGGCAGAGAATTACGCCAAATGACCACCAGTCTGCTGATTGGCCGTACAGTTTGTTGCTGAGTACCTGGCAAAACCCATAAGATATGCAATTTTATTAAATATGGTATTAAATGTACCAAACCTATCACATTCTAGAGATCTTCATACATTACCCATCTTTTTATTATTAGGCTAGTCCAATAGCGTTCTTGTCAGTGCATCCATTAATACTCCGATACTGCCCTTATACCCAGCTCGTGTTAGTCATCCTTCTACTGCTCGTTATACACCCCTTTAGCTACTGCATTGCTCTTATACCACTCCTCGTAACTCCTCCCCCTACATTCCACGTAACCACACCCTCTAACTAACCTCTGGCGCCATGTAAAGCAGTGTGCCAGCTTGTCCTCTGGTTGTTGTATCTGTAAAGATATTTTCTGCTGAGAGACCAAAGTCAGCTATTTTGAGATAGCCGTTGGCACCCAGGAGAATATTATCTGGCTTCAGATCCCTAAATGATGAAGACAGATATAAAGGTGAGATATAGGACAGAGCAGAGATATAAACACATTATTTCTTGTTAGAGTAAGTTACCGCTTACTGAATAAACTAACGCTAATACTGACCGATGAAGGATCCCCCGGGAATGGAGGTACTGGATCCCACAAACAAGGTTTGATGAAAAGAACCTGGAAAACAGAATATAAAGAATATAAAGCAATCTCCCCCAAACATTAATAGTAAATAAAATAATAAAATATACCTGGGCAAGGTACGAGTATCTATACATCATGCTAAACACTGCGACCAATATGAACATAACATTTTCATTTTAAACTAAACAGGACCTGTCCTTGGGAGATTAGAGTTTACTTTATTACCATTAATATTGTTATTAAAACCATCAGTGTTTTAATTTGGAACATGACTGTCCCTTGATATATTATCCATTGAACCCTTCTCGGTTCTCTGCCATAAAGCACAAGCTGCTCTATGATTCTTCAAGTCCCCTCCAATTTGTTAGATGTACAAATCAATAATCTATAAACATATGAATTTATTACGAAGATCCATGGTCATAGCAATTTGTATTTCAAGTGTGTAGAAGGAGATCCACCCTGAAGTCAGCTTAGCGCTGCGGCAGGTCAGCTGACCCCTAGTGGCTCCCGATCTGCCGTCAGTCAGTACAGAACGTATCCCACTGCTAGTCCTGAGTTTCTTTTTTTGTTTGTTTTAGACAATCTTTATTTTTATTTTTAAATCGAACAAAGCAGGTAGAATTATGTGTACACGTGCAGTAATGCCTCAGACAGACACGGAATGAGTTATTAATAAGGAAAACATCTAAAAAGTTCTAAGTTGCCTCTGTATATCGAAAGATGGGTGTTTGGGCATGCATGTCAATAGTAACTTTCCTAGCAGGAAGTACCATGGAAAGCATAGTAATATACGATATCATCAGATGGAATCCATGATATCAACCGATTATCCAACTCGTCAACCATTTAAGCCATCACGTATTCCAGAGGGATGTAAGATTCTCCGTCCTCAGCTAGTGAGTGAGATACCACTGAGGAGGAGGGGAAAAAAGGGAGGGAAGAGAGAGAAAGAAAGAATAAATAGGACACGAGCATAGAATAGGATCAGAGCTGGGTTTCTTGTATTGCCCATTGTCTGGCTGATATTGAAGGAGGAATTCTGGTTTAGTACATTACTGTTAACCCAGTCTGTACCCCTGATGGATCTCCATTAATAGTCCTACTATTGAGGGTATATGTATATATCCTTACATTCCTGTATCGTGTGTTAAACTCACTCCTTCCTCCTACCTGCTAGAGCTTTTAACGACTCACCTTGCTTCCCCCATGGGCAGACATTCCTTTCCAGCCATGTAAGAACGGAGACTGCCCCCTGGTACGTGCTCCATGACCAGGGAGGCTTCCTTCTGTTTCACAAGAGAGATAACATATATCCAGTTAATATATATATTGTAATAATAATAACAGAACACAATCAGCCGTATAGAAATATATAGAAATAAGGAAACATTATGGACAGCGTTTCTTACCTGGGTCTGGAAGGCAGCGAGTCCCTGACATAGGAATGGACTGCCGCTCGCCATTTGCAGTATCCGCTCCTCCTTCTGAATGGTCCTTTCCTTAACTTTATCTTTCTTTATTACTTTAATTGCAACAACCTGACCTGTGTCCTTGGTGGAAGCTAGCACAACCTGAGCATCACATAGAGAGAGGAGAGAGCCTCGTATCAGCCACAATATCACAAACGAAATGGGAAATTTTAGCTACTTTGTGATTTAAAACTTCATTCAGTGGGGACATATTACAGATATCACGTGGTAACATCACTTCAACACCACCTGAGGGATGTCTATACAGAGCTTGGGAACCTACCTGAAACAAACCTACATAAAGAATAAATATACCGTATATACTCGAGTATAAGCCGACCCGAATATAAGCCGAGGCCCCTAATTTTACCCCAAAAAACTGGGAAAACGTATTGACTCGAGTAGTTGACTAGGGTGGGAAATGCAGCAGCTACTGGTAAATTTCTAAATAAAATTAGATCCTAAAAAAATTATATTAATTGAATATTTATTTACAGTGTGTGTATATGATGAATGCAGTGTGTGTGTATGAATGCAGTGTGTGTATGAGTGCAGTGTGTGTATGAATGCAGTGTGTGTATGAATGCAGTGTGTGTATGAGTGTGCAGTGTGTGTGTATGAGTGCAGTGTGTGTGTATGAGTGCAGTGTTTGTATGAATGCAGTGTGTGTGTATGAGTGCAGTGTGTGTGTATGAGTGCAGTGTGTGTGTGTGTGTGTGTGTGTGATGCAGTGTGTGTTTGTGTTGCAGAGCCTTGGTGGGGGGGTGGGCATTTTTATAAAAAAAATTTATTTTTATTTTTTATTATTATTATTATTTATATTTATATATTATTATTTATTTATTTTTTGTCCCCCCTCCCTGCTTGATACATGGCAGGGAGGGGGGCTCTCCTTCCCTGGTGGTCCAGTGGCATTGGCAGTTCAGTGGGGGGAGGAGGGGGGCTGGCAGAGCTGTTACTTACCTCTCCTGCAGCTCCTGTCAGCTCTCTCCTCCTCCGCGCCGGTCCGTGCAGCTCTTCTGTCAGCTCACACTGTAAGTCTCGCGAGAGCCGCACTATGACCCCGCGGCTCTCGCAAGACTTACACTGGGAGCTGACCGAGGTGCTGACGGACCGGCGCGGAGGAGGAGAGAGCTGACAGGAGCTGCAGGAGAGGTAAGTAACAGCTCTGCCAGCCCCCAGTCTGTATTATGGCAATGTAAATTAATGTAAATTGCCATAATACAGACACTCACTCGAGTATAAGCCGAGTTGGGGTTTTTCAGCACAAAAAATGTGCTGAAAAACTCGGCTTATACTCGAGTATATACGGTACATAGCTCTGGAACCTACCTGAGAACCCTATATCAGGGATATATATTCATAGCTCTGGGACCTACCTGAGAACCCTATATCAGGGATATATATTCATAGCTCTGGGACCTACCTGAGAACCCTATATCAGGGATATATATACAGAGCTCTGGGACCTACCTGAGAACCCTATATCAGGGATATATATACATAGCTCTGGGACCTACCTGAGAACCCTATATCAGGGATATATATACAGATCTCTGGGACCTACCTGAGAACCCTATATCAGGGATATATATACAGATCTCTGGGACCTACCTGAGAACCCTATATCAGGGATATATATACATAGCTCTGGGACCTACCTGAAAACCCTATCAGGGATATTGATAGCTCTGGGACCAACCTGAGAACCCGATATACACAGCTCTGGGACCTACCTGAGAACCCTATATCAGGGATATATATACATAGCTCTGGGACCTACCTGAGAACCCTATAATAGGGATATATATACACACAGCTCTGGGACCTACCTGAGAACCCTATATCAGGGATATATATACACAGCTCTGGTACCTACCTGAGAACCCTATATCAGGGATATATATACATAGCTCTGGGACCTACCTGAGAATCCTATATCAGGGATATAGATAGCTCTGGGACCAACCTGAGAACCTGATATACATAGCTCTGGGACCTACCTGAGAACCCAATATCAGGGATATATATACACAGCTCTGGGACCTACCTGAGAACCCTATTATAGGGATATATATATACACACAGCTCTGGGACCTACCTGAGAACCCTATATCAGGGATATATATACACAGCTCTGGTACCTACCTGAGAACCCTATATCAGGGATATATATACATAGCTCTGGGACCTACCTGAGAACCCTATATCAGGGATATAGATAGCTCTGGGACCAACCTGAGAACCTGATATACATAGCTCTGGGACCTACCTGAGAACCGTATATCAGGGATATATATACATAGCTCTGGGACCTACCTGAGAACCCTATTATAGGGATATATATATACACACAGCTCTGGGACCTACCTGAGAACCATATATCAGGGATTTATATACACAGCTCTGGTACCTACCTAAGAACCCTATTTTAGAGATATATATACATAGCTCTGGGACCTACCTGAGAACCCTATATCAGGGATATATATACACAGCTCTGGGACCAACCCAAGAACACTATATCAGAGATATATATACATAGCTCTGGGACCTACCTGAAAACCCTATATCAGGGATATATATACACAGCTCTGGGATCAACCTGAGAACCCTATATAAGGGATATATATACATAGCTCTGGGACCAACCTGAGAACACTATATCAGAGATATATATACATAGCTCTGGGACCTACCTGAGAACCCTATATCAGGGATATTTATACATAGCTCTGGGACCTACCTGAGAACCCTATTTCAGGGATATATATACATAGCTCTGGGACCTATCTGTGAACCCTATATCAGGGATATATATACATATCTCTGGGATCTACCTGTGAACCCTATATCAGGGATATATATTCATAGCTCTGGGACCTACCTGAGAACCGTATATCAGGGATATATATACAGAGCTCTGGGACCTACCTGAGAACCCTATATCAGGGATATATATATACATAGCTCTGGGACCTACCTGAGAACCCTATATCAGGGATTTATATACACAGCTCTGGTACCTACCTGAGAACACTATTTTAGGGATATATATACATAGCTCTGGGACCTACCTGAAAACCCTATATCAGGGATATATATACACAGCTCTGGGATCAACCTGAGAACCCTATATAAGGGATATATATACATAGCTCTGGGACCAACCTGAGAACACTATACAGGGAGTGCAGAATTATTAGGCAAATGAGTATTTTGACCACATCATCCTCTTTATGCATGTTGTCTTACTCCAAGCTGTATAGGCTCGAAAGCCTACTACCAATTAAGCATATTAGGTGATGTGCATCTCTGTAATGAGAAGGGGTGTGGTCTAATGACATCAACACCCTATATCAGGTGTGCATAATTATTAGGCAACTTCCTTTCCTTTGGCAAAATGGGTCAAAAGAAGGACTTGACAGGCTCAGAAAAGTCAAAAATAGTGAGATATCTTGCAGAGGGATGCAGCACTGTTAAAATTGCAAAGCTTCTGAAGCGTGATCATCGAACAATCAAGCGTTTCATTCAAAATAGTCAACAGGGTCGCAAGAAGCGTGTGGAAAAACCAAGGCGCAAAATAACTGCCCATGAACTGAGAAAAGTCAAGCGTGCAGCTGCCACGATGCCACTTGCCACCAGTTTGGCCATATTTCAGAGCTGCAACATCACTGGAGTGCCCAAAAGCACAAGGTGTGCAATACTCAGAGACATGGCCAAGGTAAGAAAGGCTGAAAGACGACCACCACTGAACAAGACACACAAGCTGAAACGTCAAGACTGGGCCAAGAAATATCTCAAGACTGACTTTTCTAAGGTTTTATGGACTGATGAAATGAGAGTGAGTCTTGATGGGCCAGATGGATGGGCCCGTGGCTGGATTGGTAAAGGGCAGAGAGCTCCAGTCCGACTCAGGCGCCAGCAAGGTGGAGGTGGAGTACTGGTTTGGGCTGGTATCATCAAATGAGCTTGTGGGGCCTTTTCGGTTGAGGTGGAGTCAAGCTCAACTCCCAGTCCTTCCAGTTCCTGGAAGACACCTTCTTCAAGCAGTGGAACATCCACAGCATCCTTCAAAAAGGCAATGAAAGGTGGATCAACAGCCAACTACTCCCAGCGTTTGTTTTGAAAAGGGTAAAAAGAGAAAAATGACATTGGCTGCCTTGTTCTGAATGGTTTGGTGAGAACCTGTAAATGACAATGATGACAAGGGAAAAAAGTACCTCTCTGACAGTGTCTGGGAGGCTGTGGTCTGTGTTGTTGTTGATGGAACAGATCAAAACCTACAATCCATGGATGGCAGGCTTTTGAGTGTTTGCAAAGAAAGGTGGTATTGGTCACGATTTGTTTTTGTTTTTTTGAATGTAGAAATGTATATTTGTTGATGTTTGATGTTATATTGGTTTACAAGGTATAAATGGATAAAAAAACAAACTAAGTTGAAAATAACAGCTGTAAATGACTTTGGAACACACCTAACACACAAAATTAAAATAAACAAAAAACAAATTAAAATACACACCAAAAATATTCACTTTTCAAATATTTTTTTGATATTCACCCCAATTATCTTTTGCCTAACATAAAAACTGCAAAAAACTTTTCCAAATAGGTACCCTGACAGTATAAGAGATATATAACCCTCTGGAACCTAAGAGAACCCCTATATGCTGATTTAATCATTAGCTGGGGGACCTAGATATGATCTATATCATATATATATTATAAACTGAACCCTTGTGAACTTTTATATCGATTTGTATACAATAGCTTGGGGACCATCATTGATATATATCAGGATATATACTGGCTCTCTGGGACCTCCAGACGCACCCTATATCAGGGATATATATTTTTAAGAGCTTCTCTATAAAACCCATATATCATATATATACTTTAGCTGCTGACCTACTTCTATAATATATACATATATATACACTAGCTGAGTCTACCTAATACAAATATATAGGGATATATATATATATATATACATATATATACACACACAGAACGACCTCCCGCACATGTAAAATCTTCCCTAACTAAAAGTCATTTAAAGTCCCTTTATATTTGATAAACAGAATGACAATCATAATGATATATATAAATGTTTATAAATGTGTATTTTCCTATAGCCTGTTATGACTTCAGTAGATGAATAATTTGCAAAGAGATTGTGATCATTTGAAAAGCTTACCCAAATATTAAATTCAGACCTATGTCTGTAATTCTAATGTGAATAATCAGAGTTTAGAGAAAGATACAAAGATTCAATAGAACTCCACATAGTATTTTGTGCAACTTTTAGAATTGTATTTCATGTATCTATGGATGAAACCTATCACCTTCTTTTATTTATGTTTTCCCCTCACCTGCTTTTCATTATTCATAACTCGATTGTTTACTTTTCTTAGATTTTTGTTCCATATTGTTATCAATATGTTTTTCAATAATTGTTTAATAAAAATAATTTGAGAAGATTTAATAGAACTGTTAGTATAATAAGCCATGTTAAACATCCCATAATAGAAGAGTCCTGTCGATTATTTTTGGAGTCTCAATAAAATGTTCTAAATACTTTGCAGATGTTAATATGTTTTCCACATTCATGGATGATACACTGATTTACAAGAAAGTTAATCTCAACTAATTGTTATAGGAAGATAATGATGATTATGAGAGTTATAATCGTTCCCTACTAAATCAATAGATGTATTAAATAAGGTGTATACATTGCTCGTTGACTCACCTTTCCATAACTCCCCTGTCCCAGCACTTTGTGGAATCTGTAACCGGTGAATGACAGAGGCAGTGACTTCTTTGGTTCAACCACAGACTGTCCACTTACTCCTTAAAGAATGAACACATAATATTAGTCTCCACTTCAACATAAACACAGGAACCAACTTAATTTCTCTAGTACCCCTGATTCACCCTACAAATCTTCCGATCCCACCCAGTTATATGAAATAATAATATTGTTTGTAAATATCACATCATGGACCATTTCATTAAAAAGACTTTATAGTTTGTGGTACATTAGCCATGAATATCATTGGCTAATTCCTAATGGATGGATAAATATTCTAGATATATCAAAGGTCTTGAAATATTGGTCTGTACCATTATAGTTTAAAAAACCATCACCTGAACACTCATGGTCACCGAAGTACGGGAGATAGTGATTAAAGAGAGACAGTGAATGGGTTCAGAGTATGGTCAATTGAGGGAAAAATCTCTTATATTTTAAATTGACCAATCTCTTTAAAAGCTTGTAGGTTCATCTTACCTGCCACACATTCATCGTCGCTCGTTGACTTGTTTTCTTTCTTAAAGCACTTTTTCTCTCCTATCTCCTCTTCATCTCTTTTCTCCTCTTCCTGCTTTCCAGAGGAGATCTTTATCTTTTTCTGCCTAACTTGTTCCTTCTCCTCCTCATCATATTCACTGCTTCTTTTCAGGGCTTGTTTTCTGGGTGGAGATGTCTGACTGCTTTTTCCAGCAGATTTTCTCTCACTTTTCTGACCCAGTTTTGGTGAGGAGGAGAGCTTTGGTCTTTTCTGCATGAGCTGCTCCCCATGATCGTATTCCCTGCTTCGTTTCAGGGCTTGCTTTCTGGGTGGAGATGTCTGATCGCTCTTTACAGCAGACTTTCTCTCACTTTTCTGATCCAGTTTTGGAGATGAGGAGAGCTTTGGTCTTTTCTGCATAAGCTGCTCCTCTTCATCATGACTAGAGGTCCTGTATCTTTTCTGACCTTGATATCTGATGCGTTCCTCAGCAAGGAGCCGTCTTTTGGGATCTCTCCCTCTCTCAATGTCCTGCTCATTGCAGCTCCTACTTCTCTTTCTCCTGGAATCTCCAGGAGATATCTGCTGTTCGTGCTCTTTTGAGCCGTTACTAAGTTTTCTATATTTGTTTTTAAATTCGTCAGAATTTTCCTGACTTACCTCAGTTTTCTTATGAGAACGCTTTCTTGTTCTCTTCATGCTTATATTATACTGTATGAATCTATTGCTTTCAAATTCACAAATATATTTAGCAATCAGCTAATTAATATTAGTAACAATAAATAAATTATTGCAAATCTCACTCAAGCAATGCAGTAGCCACTGTCCACTCGCAAGGTGTCCAGTCACTCTGAGGGTAGGTGAGTTTGACATTGATTGTTTCATCGGATGATGTCAGAGTGTTTACGATGTCACTACACCTGACCATATATGGAGATATGAACCAGTCAGTAATGGAGAAACTAATATTATCTTATCCCAGTTTTATAAGTCTCAGGATCCCCATCCAACAGTGAACTAGGAGTCATGGTAGAAACCTTTTTTGGATACTCCTGCTCTATAAGGGTGACAGGGAGATGTGACTGAGTTATTTTCATTCAATTAATGAATCAATCAATCTCTAAATAATAAAGACACTGTGCGGGTCCCTTCAGTCTGTGCTATGAAAGTTGTGTTTTGCCAGTAATTATCTGCTATATACTAACAACACACCCTAACTTTTGTTGTTTTTTTTATTTTACATTAAACCCTTCATGGGTGCTCCCAAAATAGTGATACCCAAGTACACACACACACACACACATACACATACAAGCACACACACAGACACACACGCACACACACACAGACACACACGCACACACAGACACACACAAACACACACACACAGACACACACAAACACACACAGACACGCACACTTGCACACACACACACACACGCACATACAAGCACATACATGCCTCCTGGCCACATAAACAAACATATAAATACATCCAGTGATATAAATTTGATGGCACTATATAAATAATAAAATAATAATAATAATAATATAGACACAGATAGACACAAACATCACACATACATCCAGATTAAATCCAAAAATGACATTTATTATTAATTTTTTCACAAATATATGTTTTTCAGGGCTGACTGTTGATCAGTTTGGGTCTTTAATCAAACTTCATTTGAGCTACAATGTTACTGGTGTTTTTAACCTTAAATTCTCAGGACCAATCGAGGATTTCGTAGTGTCTGATAGCGTTGGTGATGTGTGGAAACCTGCAGAATTTGAGGCATGCCACAAAGGCTTCACCTAGAGGGGCATTAGCTGTGCTGCCAACCTTACTCTGCTAACAACCAGTTCTGTGCTCCCTGTCTAAACCAATAAAAACAAAAATGTCTCCCATGCCCAAGTCTAATTGTTAGTTACCGTGCACATTGTCATTAATTACAAGCCGGTTATAAAGAAGATGTGGAGTATAACTCCCATCACTCTCAGACAGGATACAGTTCAAACCATATTGAAAGCTGGTATTTTTATTGTGGTAGCCAGCTGTATAATTGTAGTTTACTGGGTTTTAAACAAAGTACTTTCTAAACTCCCTAACCTTAAATCCCGATTCAGTAATTTAATGACATAGGATTACTGCACAGAGTTCACTATACCCCATGCTATTACTGTGCCCTGTACTGCAATAATAACCCAAAACGACACAATATTATGCATCTGTGCAGTAATTTGAATTTGTGATATAAATCAGCGATCTCTCGGAAGATTTAGCAAATCATTATGAGTGAGGGGCGGTCCCCTCTAGACATGCTTATACCATTGAATTTTCATAACTAACAATAATTTGTCTCCCAACGTAAATTATGTGTGAAAAACACACAAACATAAACTATTACAAGACAATATGACAGATTTTAGTGGATAAAGTGGCATTATTTGGATTTCACATTTCATACTGTATTATATCATTTTGTGGGGAAGTTTTGGTCAACGTGATTGCTACTTACATTATAGTAACTTATTACCAAAATTTGAAAAATTCTAAAATTGAAACACGAATGTGCTCATTGCAATATGTGATCTATAAATGCCGAAATAGATGAAACCCATTGGCTTACAAGGGATTTTCAAAGATAGGATAAGTAAATCGAATCATTTTTAGATTTACTTCTCTGGCTAATTCTGCACTCGTTTTCAGAAATCATAATAGTTAAATCTGTGGAAAAAGTTTAAATACGTTTTTGAACCAGTCAGTAATGGAGAAACTAATATTTTCTAATTCCAGTTTTATAAGTCTCAGGATCCCCATCCAACAGGGAGCTGAGAGTCATGGTAGAAACTTTTTTTTTTGGCTACTCCTGCTCTGTTTTTTTGAATTGTGTTTTTTTTTATCCCATTAATTTAGCATTATATTTATATATTAGTGTAGGACCCACCGATATTAAAATACTGTGACGTAGTGGTGGGTGTAACACAATATGGCCGTATGGTGGAACTGAATCCCCATATTTGTTTGGTAATTTAGGTGACTTTCTAAAATTGAAAACTGTATTTTTATGTGTGAGCTGTTCCTTAATCTGTATTATTAATCATTTAAAGAGACAGCAGCTAACCGTTATGACAGTGTACAAAATATTTCCAAAAATCTGACCAAGACTAAATCAGAAGGACAATACTGATAATAACTTCCATTAAGCCAATCAGAGCTGGACACGTGTCAGAAACAACCCCAGTGTGAGAAAGCCCTGCTCACTTTATTGTATAGACTTTGTATGTATGTTGTTATGGTTGTTTTACATGTGCTGTCTCTTTAAATAATGACACATGACTATTTATTTGTGTTGTGCATCCTTTTGCTTTCTTGGTTATTAAATCAATCATTGTCAGTCTCTGTATTTTCTGTGCTTTTGTTTATTTTTAATTCACCGTAGTTTTTTTATTTACACATTAGAAGGGATTATTTTTTCTGATGGCGGCGGGATCTTTGGTAAATGTTGGTGATGGGCGGAGCTTAAACAGCATTCCATTTCAGTTGCAGATTTACCCACAATCCATCAGTGAAATCAGTCCGGCAGAAGGCAGACAGCAGACAATATGGAGGGAGGAGAACAAAATGGCGGCAGCACACACAATGTTTTATTTATTTAAACTATACCAGTGGCTGACACAGTGCCCACATGTAATGGTTACCATGACAACATGAATTAATGAAGCCACCACCCCATCGCTGCTAACCCACAGCAGGCCCCAGAGGAACCAAAGCCAAGTGAAATAGAGAAATGTACTCAATGCTGCACGTACAATGTACGATGGGATCGCCGCTGGGACGGCCATAATGTCAGAGCAGACGGCAATGCTCTCCAGCTAAACAGCAGGTCGGGGAAATCACCGAATCATCACAGCATTGGCAACCACCAAAATCTTACTCCACAACCTCAGAGACCCCCAATAAACTCCCGATAAACCCCCGACAGGAGATAGTGGGCCAAGCCGCCTGACTGCCTCTCCTAAACTGGCCGCCATGATTCCCCCCATGTAACTGGCATCCGGTATCGTTCACCATCATTACCCGCTATGGGAGGCTCTGCTAAATGGACCTTCCTGGAAATACTGGACAGATACGGACACCATCACAATACGTTATTGGATCTGCTAAATGGACATACCTGGAAATACTGGACAGATGCGGACACCATCACAGGCCGTTATTGGATCTGCTAAATGGACCTTCCTGGAAATACTGGACAGATACGGACACCATCACAGGCCGTTATTGGATCTGCTAAATGGACCTTCCTGGAAATACTGGACAGAGGACACCATCACAGGCCGTTATTTGATCTGCTCAATGGACCTTCCTGGAAATACTGGACAGATACGGACACCATCACAATCCGTTATTGGATCTGCTAAATGGACCTTCTTGGAAATACTGGACAGATACGGACACCATCACAATACTGGACAGATACGGACACCATCACAATCCATTATTGGATCTGCTAAATGGACCTTCCTGGAAATACTGGACAGATACGGACACCATCACAATCTGTTATTGGACCTGCTAAATGGACCTTCCTGGTAATACTGAACAGATACTGACACTAACGCTAAACCTCCGCAGTAATGAGCATATTGAGCTGGTAGCTCTGTGGGTGAGTTATAGAGACCCAGATCGCTCCGGTAAATTCAGGCTAACATTAAACTATATACAAAGACCAACTGCCCACCCAATTTCTTAAATAAAAATAAACTTTAAATCGTACCATAATTTTATTAAAATCCAAATTGATATATAGACACATATATGTACAAATCACAGGGATATGGAAGCAGTAAGTTATAAATTCCTCAGTATAGTCTATATATACAGAAGGATGCAGAGTATAATGTCTGTGTGTTAAATCAATACATGTAATAAATGACTGAAAAATAAATATAAAAAACTCCTGTACTAAGTGTTTTACCTCCTTGTGTAGATACATTGTGATAAAATGACACCAGAAGCCCCCAATGTTTCGGCCTGAATAGCCTTCATCAAGGGTGATGCTTGGGCTAAAAATAAATATAAAAAGACAAGCTCTCCTCCCTCCTCCCGGCCTCAAGGTATAGATAATATGTTATGTGATAGTTTAATGTGAGCCTGGATTTACAATGCTTTTGTGGCATTAACCATCTGGCCATTATATTCAGGTTCTATTTATCCTAAGAGGCTCCATTTTGCCCTAATATTTTGTGGACTTTCTGGACTTAAATATTAATTTCAATTCATTTTAATTTGTGGTATTAATATTTAATATAATGGACATGTATTTTATTCTATTTTAAGATGTTGCTATACCCCAATAATTGATCTATATTTGTATTTATATTGATATCTCTATATTTTTAATTTCTATTCAGCATTTTATCCCACTCTAAGCTATTTCTCCTGACCATCCTGCTATACTGTTAGCTAGGTTATATCTTTGTAGTTAATTTAGGGTATGGTGAACCCTGGGTTAATTTGAACAATATTTAGTTAATTGTCCCCTAAAGCACTTTTGGATGGGGACAGGGCACATCATGACCGGTCTGCAGCTACGTAGCCTCATATGCAGCAAACTGTGATGCACTGTATGTTCTGACACCTTTCTGGTGGCCAACATTACGATTTCCAGCAATTTGAGTTTCAGTAGCTCACCTATGTGATCGGACCAGACGGGCATCAATTTATTTATTTATTACTGGCATTTATAAAGCGCCAACATATTCTGCAGTGCTGTACGATTGGGAAAAAGACAAACATAATAAGAACAAACCAATACAACAGGTAGAGGACCCTGCCCGTCAGCTTACAATCTAAAGGTTAAAATGGGGAGATGATCCTTGGGTGCCCATGACCATGATGCTGGTTCACCGGTTGTCCTTCCTTGCACCATATGGGGTTAGTACTAACCACTGCATACCGGGAACACCCAATCACCCAAAACTTGCCCTTTGGAGATGCTCTGACCCAGCTGTCTAGCCTTTTGGTCTTTGTCAAAGTCCTCAGATCTTTTCTCTTGTCCATTTTCCCTCCTGCCAACACATGAAATTCAAGAATTGACTGTTCACTTGCTGCCCAATATCCCACCCCTTGACAGGTGGCATTGTAATGATATAATCAATGTTGTGGCTGATCAGTGTATGTCCCTTCACCTCATTAAATCCCTCTCCCATCATTTACACCCAACCTGTACATCCCCACCCACCTTCCAGTCACCTACACCCAGCCTGGATATTCTCACCTACCTCTATGTCACCTACACCTAGCCTGGACATCCCCACCCACCTTCCAGTCACCTACAACCAGCCTGGACATTCCCACCCACCTCCAGGTCACCTACAACCAGCCTGGACATTCCCACCTCCGGGTCACCTACACCCAGCCTGGACATCCCCACCCACCTTCCAGTCACCTACACCCAGCCTGGATATTCCCACCTACCTTCCAGTCACCTACACCCAGCCTGGACATTCCCACCTACCTCCAGGTCACCTACAACCAGCCTGGACACATGATTCTCATATAGTCAATGATTTAACTCCAAACTGGTTTAAATCTAAATTACATAATGTATCCTTGTAACTCATCTGGAAACATTCTCCTATTCAGCTATAAAGCTATAAGGGGGTGAGCAAAGGGAGGGCTGATTTAATCACATCCACATAGGTAACTAAAAACATCCTGCATCCAGGTGCAACTGACCCCTGGCTCACCCCGACCAAATTATCTCGGAAATTGTAACGCATATCCCAAAAGTATATTAAATAGTAATGTCATCTAACTAGCAAACTGAAATGGAGAAGATTATCATAAAATGCCCTAACCTTCAAAACCATATAAACAAAAGATTATCAACATTAATTCAATATAGAATGAACCATGTAGAATGAACAATATGTTAGCATAACAGTACAGGTGTGCAATGAAGAATGTGTAGCCAGAACTAGCAAAACAAAACATACACAAAAATATTTGTATTTATTTATTTACAATATAACAGTAGTTGGCACAAGGCCCACATGCAGATCTAATATGGAGGTGGTCCTGGTGCAAGAATTTTTTTTTGCTCTCACAATGCTTTGCAAGCTAGGGATCAACCATTTGCCCATTCTTACAGGGTTGTATTTAGCACTGAGCAGTGTTTGTGTGTTTGAATGTAAGCATGTTTTTGTATGGTGAATGTGTGAGTGAATGTAAGGGTGTATTTGTATGTAGTGTTGTGTGTTTTTATGTACTATTGCCATTTGAAAGCAGTGGATTACTTGTGTAATACCCAGACCCACACATAGATAGATACACTGACACACACACCATTTCACAGACACAGAGAAAGACACATAGATACACACACACTGACACACACACAGTTTCACAGAAAGACACAGATATATATACACACACACACACACAGTTTCACAGACACACAGAAAGACACAGATATACACACAATGACACGCACACAGTTTCACAGACACAAAAAAACACAGAGATATACACACTGACACACACACACAGTTTCACAGACACACAGAAAGACACAGAGATGCACACACTGACACACACAGTTTCACAGATACACAGAAAGATACATAGATACACACAGTGACACACATACAGATACACACACTGACATACATATAGATGCAAAGACACACAGATAAATTCCCAGCATCCCTAGATTGTGAAGGACAGGCCATGGATGACTTAGTCTTCAAATAAAAAGGTGTTACTTAGCAGAAAAAATAAAATTCTTCTGTGGTGTCTGTCTCTTGATACGGTGTCTGCAACAAGAAGTGATATGTAATTAGTTTAGCATCATATGGCATTGCCTACTTCTTACTTATAAATAAGAATGTACAGCTTATTATGGTCACAGTGATGGTGGGGGGCAATTATTATTATTATTGGCATTTATATAGCGCCAATAGATTCCGTACCGCTTTACAATATTATAAGAAGGGGTATTTAACAATAAGTAAGACAATTACAAAAACTTACAGGAATGATATGTTGAAGGGGACCCTGCACAAATGAACTTACAGTCTATAGGAGGTGGGGTGTAAAACACAAAACGACAGGAGATAGCAATCAAAAAGGGTAGGAGTGAAGCAAAACTGGAGGAGAGATAGAGTGCTACCCTTTAGGAGAGAGCAATAGACATGTATGTGAGGTAGGGGAGAGTCTGATGGTGGTAGACAGGCTATTCCAAAGGAAAGGAGCCACCTGTCAGGTCCCCTGCCCCCGCGCTGCTCGCGGTGACCTTGCTTACCTCATCACAGCGAGCAACGTCATCTGGTCCCTGTCTCCAGACTGGCAGTGTGTCTGACACTGCACGCTCCAGAGCAGCTTCCTTATATGTGTGCTGCACCCGGTCATGTGACCCGGCACACAGTGATGGCCTCAGAGACCACAAGGGAGGGAAGAAACACCTCCTACGTGTTGTATTTAACACTAATTGGAGATTAGCCAATCAGACACACCCTGTGTGTATATAAGCTAACCTCTCCCTTGCCTCAGTGCCCTGTTGTGGTCTTTGGTTTACCATTGAGCATTGCACTTGTTATTTGGATTTCCTGGTTACTGATATTTGGCTTTGTCTCTCGTTATTCCATGTCTTTGTTTCCCTTGACCTCGGTTCATGTTTTGACTATCCCTTTTTGCATAACCTGACCATTCTAAGGATCGGTATTTCAATTCTCTCTACTCTGTCCTGTCTGCATGTTAGGGTTTCCTAGTGAACGTTACACCACCTGCGAGAAGTCCTGCAAGCGTAAATTGGCCTTACAGGTGCAAGCAGCAGACAGGAGAAGGTCATGGGTAGAGCATAGAGATTGAGAAGGGGCATACCTACGGATCTGTGAGGAGATGTAGGAGGGGATAGAATTGTTCAATGCTTATAGGTATGGGTTAGTACTTTGAATTGACTCCTACAGGATACAGGAATCCAATGTAAGGAATGACATGTGGGAGAGGTGTGAGAGGAGCGACTGGAGAGGAAAATCAGTCTGGCAGCAACATTCATTACAGACTGTAGTGGGGCAATGTGGCTTTTGGGAAGACCAATTAGGAGAGGGTTACAATAATCCATGCGAGAGATTACTAGACAAGGACAAGGTCCTTAGTAGCATCTTGCGTAAGATAGAGGCGGATGCAGGCTATGTTTTTAAGATGGAATCTACAGGATTTGGATGCAAAGACATACAGATACACACATACCATAGGAGAACATGGTCTTTCTGATGTTCAAATTGCTGCTATAGTTTGACCAACATGTGGCCGTCACCATCTTCTTTGCTGGACATCTTTTCTTTTCTTTCATTACCGATATTCCTAGATTGTGAAGGACAGGCCATGGATGACTTAGTCTTGAAAAAAAGAGGTGTTACTTAGCAGAAAAAAATTAATTCTTCTGTGGTGTCTGTCTCTTGATACGGTGTCTGCAACAAGAAGTGATATGTAATTAGTTTAGCATCATCTGGCATTGCCTATTTCTTACATAATAATATGAACGTACTGTGTATTATGGTCACAGTAATGGTGGGGAGCAATTATTATTATTGGCATTTATATAGTGCCAATAGATTCCGTACTGCTTTACCATATTATAAGAGGGAGTATTTAACAATAAGTAAGATAATTACAAAAACTTACAGGAATGATAGGTGGGGTATAAAACACAATACAACAGGATATAGCAATCAAAAAGGGTAGGAATGAAGCAAAACTGGAGGAGAGATAGAGTGCTGCCTTTTAGGAGAGAGCAAGGGACAGGTATGTGAGGTTGAGGTTCATCTGGGAGGCCATACGCTTTCCTAGTGTGATGGGTTTTAAGGCACTTTTTAAAGATTGAAGACTAAGGGAGAATCTGATGGGGGTAGACAGGCTATTCCTAAGGAAAGGAGCCACCCGTGAGAAGTCCTGCAAGCGTGACAGGTGAAGGTCTTGGGCAGAGCGTAGAGATCGAGAAGGGGCATACTGACGGATCTGTGAGGAGATGTAGGAGGCTATAGAATTGTTCAATGCTTTATTGGTATGGATTAGTACTTTGAATTAATTCCTATAGGATACAGGAAGTCAATGTAAAAACTGTCAGAGGGGTGAGGTGTCAGAGGACCGACTAGAGAGGAAAATCAGTCTGGCAGCAATATTCATTACAGACTGTAGCAGGGCAATACGGCTTTTGGGAAGACCAATTAGGAGAGGGTTACAATAATCCATGAAAGAGATTACTAGAGCATGGACAAGCTGCTTGGTAGCATCTTGCGTATGAAAGAAGCGCATGCGGACTATGTTTTTAAGATGGAATCTACAGGATTTGGTAAAAGGTGAGGCCAGAATCAAGTATGATGCCAAGACAGTGCGCTTGCAAGGATGGACTGATGTGGGTTCCATCAACTTGAAGGGAAAGTGAGAGAGGATAATCAATATTAGTAGGAGGAAAGACAAGAAGTTCAGTTTTAGAGAGATTGAGTTTCAGAAAGTGGAAGGACATGCAGTCAGAGATGGAAGAAGGGCAAGCAGTGACACATTGCATGATGGCAGGGAGAGGTACGGGGAGGAGAGCAGGGGCGTATTAGCCGCGAGGCAAACAAGGCATTTGCCTTGGGCGGCATTTTTCAGGGGGCGGCAAAAAACGCCGCCCCCCAAATGCCCAAGGTAAATGTCTTGTTAGCCTCGCGGCTAACAGACATTCTGGGCGCTGGGTGGCAGTGGCTGCAGCGCTGGGCGGGCGGCCGGCGAGGGAGCTCTTCCCCTGAGCGCTCTGCTCAGCTCCCTCGCGCGCCGCCAGCAGAGTGAGGCCGGGACCCGGGGATGATGACGTCATCAACCCGGCTCCCAGCCTCACTCTGCTGGCAGCGAGGGAGCTGAGCAGAGCAGAGCGCTCAGGGGAAGAGCTCCCTCGGCGGCCACTGGACCCCAGGGAGAGGAAGAACCCCCCCAGCATTACCAAAGGTAAGGAGGCTGGGGGGGGTTAAATAAAAAACCAAAAAAAAAACCACTAGTGTGTGTGTGTGGAAGTCTGTTAGTGTGTATGTGTATGTATGTTAGTGTTAGTGTGTGTATGTATGTTAGTGTGTGTGTGTGTGGATGTCTGTTAGTGTGTGTATGTTAGTGTGTCTGTTAGTGTGTGTATGTTAGTGTGTCTGTTAGTGTGTGTATGTTAGTGTTTGTGTCTGTTAGTATGTGTGTGTGTTAGTGTGTGTATGTTAGTGTGTGTGTGTGTGTGTGTGGATGTCTGTTAGTGTGTGTATGTTAGTGTGTCTGTTAGTGTGTGTATGTTAGTGTTTGTGTCTGTTAGTGTGTGTGTATGTTAGTGTGTGTGTTAGTGTGTGCATGTATGTTAGTGTGTGGATGTCTGTTAGTGTGTGGATGTCTGTTAGTGTGTGTATGTTAGTGTGTCTGTTAGTGTGTGTATGTTAGTGTGTATGTTAGTGTTTGTGTCTGTTAGTGTGTATGTTAGTGTGTGTATGTTAGTGTTAGTGTGTGTGTCTGTTAGTGTTAGTGTGTATGTTAATGTTAGTGTATGTATGTTAGTGTTAGTGTGGATGTCTGTTATGTTAGTGTGTATGTTAGTAATGTTAGTATGTATGTTATGTTAGGTGTGTGTGTTCACAGTGTGGGATGTCTGTTAGTGTGTGTGTTTGCCTGTTAGTGTGTGTGTTTGCCCTGTGAGTGTGTGTGCCCAGTTAGTGAGTGTGAGTGTGTGTCTGTTAGTGACTGTGCGTTTCTTGCTAGCTAGTGAATGCGTATCTTGCCAGTGAATGTGTGTGTGGTATTTAGAAGGCGGAGCAGGGGAAGGCTGCCGCCAGTAAAGTACGTGGTGTTTGAGTTTTGTCCTGCCTAGGGCAGCACAAACCAGATACACCTACTGAGGAGAGATATATCTTGGTGTCATCGGCGTATAGTTGGTAGTGGAATCCAAATGAGGTAATAAGTTTGCCAAGAGATGCAGTATAAAAAGAAAATAGAAGGGGATCAAGGACAGAGCCTTGGGTGACTCCAACCGAGACAGGACGAAGGGAGGAAGTGTCATTAGAAAAGGAGACACTGAATGAGCATTGGGACAGATAGGAGGAAAACCACGAGAGGACAGTGTCACAGAGACACAGAGTGATTGAAGAGTTTGAAGAAGTAGAACATGATCAACAGTGTTAGCAATTAATAAATAAATACATATATAAATTAAGTCAGTTCTTGTTAAATGGAGCACCCTCTTGGATATGATTACTGGTGGATCAAGAAATCAGTTTTCATGCTTTTGTGGTGGAGTTATTATTCTGTATAATCTTTCCTCAGTTTGTAAATACTGATTATTTGTGTACTTACCAGCAATGACAAGAATGGACAGGTCACTTTGCCCCTCTCTAGATCTTCCCAATTAATGTTTGTGTAGAAGGGGTGCCCCCGAATGTTCCTTCCTGCCACAGCACGTTCAGTAGGATCCTTATCCAGGAGCTAGTAAGAGAGAGAGAGAGATAGAGAGGATACACTGAGTATAATTTACATTATATCTCTGAACTGTAACACTTTGATATACAATCTTTAATGCATTCAAAACCAATCACCTCTGATGGAGGACGCCATTTTAACCTTCTAACAAACCTCAGATGAGGCAGTGCTTGTGAAAGGTTTGTGGTAAATGTGTTACATTAACTAAAATCTCGATTATATGACTGACCAGCAAACCAATTTTTTGTAAATAATGTTTTTTTAATTTAGATTTCCTCTTGTGTTGTCCAATCGGAACATAAAATGGCTGCATGATCCGTCTGTCGGTTGCAGGCAGAGAGTAATAAATAGGATTAATAAATGAAAAGAAGAAAACAGGCTCTGAATCAGAAGTCCCAAAACAATGAGGGACCAATGGAGCAGTGCCAAAGGATGCCCACTGTTACTCTCCCTAAATCTGGGGAATAACACACAATGTACAAAGTAAAGATAAGAGTGGACTGGAGTGTCCTAGTGGGAGAGTTAACATAAAAAGAAGAGGGGGAAAAAGCAGATTTTGGGGGATTTCTACGGGTATCCGTGTACGCAATTATATACGCTGATAATATTAATAACTAGTTGTCTCTCACCTTGTCCTGTTTTAGGGTTCTGATACTTTTCCACACTATTGTTTTTCCCCTAGGATTATTAAAAGGTATGGCTTCCCTCTGCTTTTTTCCCCTCTTCTTTTTATGTTACCTCTCCCACTAGGACACTCCAGTCCACTCTTACCCTTAATAAATAGGATTACGTATTGTAAATTAAATGTCAGTGTTTTTATCTGCCATCATTATTAAATGTTAGTATTAACCCATTAAACATCAGGATTTAAATCATTTCAGTCATTAGATAAACACCCCAGCACTCCATGCCGCTATCAAAACCGTGCAAAAGGGGGCGACAGCCATGAATGTGGAATACTGAAGCTTCTCAGCACGGAACACAAGTTACTTTCACTATTCCAGTTGGTTCTTTAACCTGTTTAGTACATACTCCAAGAAATATAACTAGTATCGATTCCCAGTAACGCCCCCTCCATATCTCCACCAGTATTTTCTTTAATGTTTCTTTACATCCCCTATCATTACATCCAATTAAAACATTAACCGGCACATTCTCTATCACCTTACCTTGTCCAGGAGGTCTGTAGGATTGCTGCACAGCCAGGTGGGGTAACGTGGGTTAGTGTTTAATACTTCCTTGATGTACTCCTGTCTGCTGAGCTTGTTATTAAATGGGAACTTTCCGGTGATCATGCGGCAGAGAATTACGCCAAATGACCACCAGTCTGCTGATTGGCCGTACAGTTTGTTGCTGAGTACCTGGCAAAACCCATAAGATATGCAATTTTATTAAATATGGTATTAAATGTACCAAACCTATCACATTCTAGAGATCTTCATACATTACCCATCTTTTTATTATTTGGCTAGTCCAATAGCGTTCTTGTCAGTGCATCCATTAATACTCCGATACTGCCCTTATACCCAGCTCGTGTTAGTCATCCTTCTACTGCTCGTTATACACCCCTTTAGCTACTGCATTGCTCTTATACCACTCCTCGTAACTCCTCCCCCTACATTCCACGTAACCACACCCTCTAACTAACCTCTGGCGCCATGTAAAGCAGTGTGCCAGCGTGTCCTCTGGTTGTTGTATCTGTAAAGATATTTTCTGCTGAGAGACCAAAGTCAGCTATTTTGAGATAGCCGTTGGCACCCAGGAGAATATTATCTGGCTTCAGATCCCTAAATGATGAAGACAGATATAAAGGTGAGATATAGGACAGAGCAGAGATATAAACACATTATTTCTTGTTAGAGTAAGTTACCGCTTACTGAATAAATAATCGCTAATACTGACCGATGAAGGATCCCCCGGGAATGGAGGTACTGGATCCCACAAACAAGGTTTGATGAAAAGAACCTGGAAAACAGAATATAAAGAATATAAAGCAATCTGCCCCAAACATTAATAGTAAATAAAATAATAACATATACCTGGGCAAGGTACGAGTATCTATACATCATGCTAAACACTGCGACCAATATGAACATAACACTTTCATTTTAAACTAAACAGGACCTGTCCTTGGGAGATTAGAGTTTACTTTATTATCATTAATATTGTTATTAAAACCATCAGTGTTTTAATTTGGAACATGACTGTCCCTTGATATATTATCCATTGAACCCTTCTCGGTTCTCTGCCATAAAGCACAAGCTGCTCTATGATTCTTCAAGTCCCCTCCAATTTGTTAGATGTACAAATCAATAATCTATAAACATATGAATTTATTACGAAGATCCATGGTCATAGCAATTTGTATTTCAAGTGTGTAGAAGAAGATCCACCCTGAAGTCAGCTTAGGGCTGCGGCAGGTCAGCTGACCCCTAGTGGCTCCCGATCTGCCGTCATTCCGTACTGAACGTATCCCACTGCTAGTCCTGAGTTTCTTTTTTTGTTTGTTTTAGACAATCTTTATTTTTATTTTTAAATCGAACAAAGCAGGTAAAATTATGTGAACACATGCAGTAATGCCTCAGACAGACACGGAATTAGTTATTAATAAGGAAAACATCTAAAAAGTTCTAAGTTGCCTCTGTATATCGAAAGATGGGTGTTTGGGCATGCATGTCAATAGTAACTTTCCTAGCAGGAAGTACCATGGAAAGCATAGTAATATACGATATCATCAGATGGAATCCATGATATCAACCGATTATCCAACTCGTCAACCCTTTAAGCCATCACGTATTCCAGAGGGATGTAAGATTCTCCGTCCTCAGCTAGTGAGCGAGATACCACTGAGGAGGAGGGGAAAAAAGGGAGGGAAGAGAGAGAAAGAAAGAATAAATAGGACACGAGCATAGACTAGGATCAGAGCTGGGTTTCTTGTATTGCCCATTGTCTGGCTGATATTGAAGGGGGAATTCTGGTTTAGTACATTACTGTTAACCCAGTCTGTACCCCTGATGGATCTCCATTAATAGCACTACTATTGAGGGTATATGTATATATCCTTACATTCCTGTATCGTGTGTTAAACTCACTCCTTTCCCCTACCTGCTAGAGCTATTAACGACTCACCTTGCTTCCCCCATGGGCAGACATTCCTTTCCAGCCATGTAAGAACGGAGACTGCCCCCTGGTACGTGCTCCATGACCAGGGAGGCTTCCTTCTGTTTCACAAGAGAGATAACATATATCCAGTTAATATATATATTGTAATAATAATAACAGAACACAATCAGCCGTATAGAAATATATAGAAATAAGGAAACATTATGGACAGCGTTTCTTACCTGGGTCTGGAAGGCAGCGAGTCCCTGACATAGGAATGGACTGCCGCTCGCCATTTGCAGTATCCGCTCCTCCTTCTGAATGGTCCTTTCCTTAACTTTATCTTTCTTTATTACTTTAATTGCAACAACCTGACCTGTGTCCTTGGTGGAAGCTAGCACAACCTGAGCATCACATAGAGAGAGGAGAGAGCCTCGTATCAGCCACAATGTCACAAACGAAATGGGAAATTTTAGCTACTTTGTGATTTAAAACTTCATTCAGTGGGGACATATTACAGATATCACTTGGTAACATCACTTCAACACCACCTGAGGGATGTCTATACAGAGCTTGGGAACCTACCTGAAACAAACCTACATAAAGAATAAATATACATAGCTCTGGAACCTACCTGAGAACCCTATATCAGGGATATATATACAGAGCTCTGGGACCTACCTGAGAACCCTATATCAGGGATATATATACAGATCTCTGGGACCTACCTGAGAACCCTATATCAGGGATATATATACAGATCTCTGGGACCTACATGAGAACCCTATATCAGGGATATATATACATAGCTCTGGGACCTACCTGAAAACCCTATCAGGGATATTGATAGCTCTGGGACCAACCTGAGAACCCGATATACACAGCTCTGGGACCTACCTGAGAACCCTATATCAGGGATATATATATATAGCTCTGGGACCTACCTGAGAACCCTATAATAGGGATATATATACACACAGCTCTGGGACCTACCTGAGAACCCTATATCAGGGATATATATACACAGCTCTGGTACCTACCTGAGAACCCTATATCAGGGATATATATACATAGCTCTGGGACCTACCTGAGAATCCTATATCAGGGATATAGATAGCTCTGGGACCAACCTGAGAACCTGATATACATAGCTCTGGGACCTACCTGAGAACCCAATATCAGGGATATATATACACAGCTCTGGGACCTACCTGAGAACCCTATTATAGGGATATATATATACACACAGCTCTGGGACCTACCTGAGAACCCTATATCAGGGATATATATACACAGCTCTGGTACCTACCTGAGAACCCTATATCAGGGATATATATACATAGCTCTGGGACCTACCTGAGAACCCTATATCAGGGATATAGATAGCTCTGGGACCAACCTGAGAACCTGATATACATAGTTCTGGGACCTACCTGAGAACCGTATATCAGGGATATATATACATAGCTCTGGGACCTACCTGAGAACCCTATTATAGGGATATATATATACACACAGCTCTGGGACCTACCTGAGAACCATATATCAGGGATATATATACACAGCTCTGGTACCTACCTAAGAACCCTATTTTAGAGATATATATACATAGCTCTGGGACCTACCTGAGAACCCTATATCAGGGATATATATACACAGATCTGGGACCAACCCGAGAACACTATATCAGAGATATATATACATAGCTCTGGGACCTACCTGAAAACCCTATATCAGGGATATATATACACAGCTCTGGGATCAACCTGAGAACCCTATATAAGGGATATATATACATAGCTCTGGGACCAACCTGAGAACACTATATCAGAGATATATATACATAGCTCTGGGACCTACCTGAGAACCCTATATCAGGGATATTTATACATAGCTCTGGGACCTACCTGAGAACCCTATTTCAGGGATATATATACATAGCTCTGGGACCTACCTGTGAACCCTATATCAGGGATATATATACATATCTCTGGGATCTACTTGTGAACCCTATATCAGGGATATATATTCATAGCTCTGGGACCTACCTGAGAACCGTATATCAGGGATATATATACAGAGCTCTGGGACCTACCTGAGAACCCTATATCAGGGATATATATACATAGCTCTGGGACCTACCTGAGAACCCGATATCAGGGATTTATATACACAGCTCTGGTACCTACCTGAGAACACTATTTTAGGGATATATATACATAGCTCTGGGACCTACCTGAAAACCCTATATCAGGGATATATATACACAGCTCTGGGATCAACCTGAGAACCCTATATAAGGGATATATATACATAGCTCTGGGACCAACCTGAGAACACTATATCAGAGATATATATACATAGCTCTGGGATCTACCTGTGAACCCTATATCAGGGATATATATTCATAGCTCTGGGACCTACCTGAGAACCCTATATCAGGGATATATATACAGAGCTCTGGGACCTACCTGAGAACCCTATATCAGGGATATATATACATAGCTCTGGGACCTACCTGAGAACCCTATATCAGGGATATATATACATAGCTCTGGGACCTACCTGAGAACCCTATATCAGGGATATATATATATATATATATATATATATATATACACACAGAGATCGAGAATGATTGCTGTGTAAGGGACATATAAATCTAGATTGTAACTAAGGTCTCAATTTAATATTTTTGGATAAACTTTGATAATCAAATAATCACAATATGTTAGAATGTTTTTATAAATGAATTATGTACAGCATTTTCCTATAGCCTGTAATGACTTCAGTAGATGAATAATTTGAAAAGAGATTGTGATTATTTGAAAAGCTTACCCAAATATTAAATTGAGACCTATGTCTGTAATTCTAATGTGAATAATCAGAGTTTAGAGAAAGATACAAAGATTCAATAGAACTCCACATAGTATTTTGTGCAACTTTTAGAATTGTATTTCATGTATCTATGGATGAAACCTATCACCTTCTTTTATTTATGTTTTCCCCTCACCTGCTTTTCATTATTCATAACTCGATTGTTTACTTTTCTTAGATTTTTGTTCCATATTGTTATCAATATGTTTTTCAATAATTGTTTAATAAAAATAATTTGAGAAGATTTAATAGAACTGTTAGTATAATAAGCCATGTTAAACATCCCATAATAGAAGAGTCCTGGAGATTATTTTTGGAGTCTCAATAAAATGTTCTAAATACTTTGCAGATGTTAATATGTTTTCCACATTCATGGATGATACACTGATTTACAAGAAAGTTAATCTCAACTAATTGTTATAGGAAGATAATGATGATTATGAGAGTTATAATCGTTCCCTACTAAATCAATAGATGTATTAAATAAGGTGTATACATTGCTCGCTGACTCACCTTTCCATAGCTCCCCTGTCCCAGCACTTTGTGGAATCTATAACCGGTGAATGACAGAGGCAGTGACTTCTTTGGTTCAACCAAAGACTGTCCACTTACTCCTTAAAGAATGAACACATAATATTAGTCTCCACTTCAACATAAACACAGGAACCAACTTAATTTCTCTAGTACCCCTGATTCACCCTACAAATCTTCCGATCCCACCCAGTTATATGAAATAATAATATGGTTTGTAAATATCACATCATGGACCATTTCATTAAAAAGATTTTATAGTTTGTGGTACATTAGCCATGAATATCATTGGCTAATTCCTAATGGATGGATAAATATTCTAGATATATCAAAGGTCTTGAAATATTGGTCTGTACCATTATAGTTTAAAAAACCATCGCCTGAACACTCATGGTCACTGAAGTACGGGAGATAGTGATTAAATAGAGACAGTGAATGGGTTCAGAGTATGGTCAATTGAGGGAAAAATCTCTTATATTTTAAATTGACCAATCTCTTTAAATCTTGTATGTTCATCTTACCTGCCACACATTCATCGTCGCTCGTTGACTTGTTTTCTTTCTTAAAGCACTTTTTCTCTCCTATCTCCTCTTCATCTCTTTTCTCCTCTTCCTGCTTTCCAGAGGAGATCTTTATCTTTTTCTGCCTAACTTGTTCCTTCTCCTCCTCATCATATTCACTGCTTCTTTTCAGGGCTTGTTTTCTGGGTGGAGATGTCTGACTGCTTTTTCCAGCAGATTTTCTCTCACTTTTCTGACCCAGTTTTGGTGAGGAGGAGAGCTTTGGTCTTTTCTGCATGAGCTGCTCCCCATGATCGTATTCCCTGCTTCGTTTCAGGGCTTGCTTTCTGGGTGGAGATGTCTGATCGCTCTTTACAGCAGACTTTCTCTCACTTTTCTGATCCAGTTTTGGAGATGAGGAGAGCTTTGGTCTTTTCTGCATAAGCTGCTCCTCTTCATCATGACTAGAGGTCCTGTATCTTTTCTGACCCTGATATCTGATGCGTTCCTCAGCAAGGAGCCGTCTTTTGGGATCTCTCCCTCTCTCAATGTCCTGCTCATTGCAGCTCCTACTTCTCTTTCTCCTGGAATCTCCAGGAGATATCTGCTGTTCGTGCTCTTTTGAGCCGTTACTAAGTTTTCTATATTTGTTTTTAAATTCGTCAGAATTTTCCTGACTTACCTCAGTTTTCTTATGAGAACGCTTTCTTGTTCTCTTCATGCTTATATTATACTGTATGAATCTATTGCTTTCAAATTCACAAATATATTTAGCAATCAGCTAATTAATAATAGTAACAATAAATAAATTATTGCAAATCTCACTCAAGCAATGCAGTAGCCACTGTCCACTCGCAAGGTGTCCAGTCACTCTGAGGGTAGGTGAGTTTGACATTGATTGTTTCATCGGATGATGTCAGAGTGTTTACGATGTCACTACACCTGACCATATATGGAGATATGAACCAGTCAGTAATGGAGAAACTAATATTATCTTATCCCAGTTTTATAAGTCTCAGGATCCCCATCCAACAGTGAACTAGGAGTCATGGTAGAAACCTTTTTTGGATACTCCTGCTCTATAAGGGTGATAGGGAGATGTGACTGAGTTATTTTCATTCAATTAATGAATCAATCAATCTCTAAATAATAAAGACACTGTGCGGGTCCCTTCAGTCTGTGCTATGAAAGTTGCGTTTTGCCAGTAATTATCTGCTATATACTAACAACACACCCCAACTTTTGTTGTTTTTTTTATTTTACATTAAACCCTTCATGGGTGCTCCCAAAATAGTGATACCCAAGTACACACACACACACACACACATACACATACAAGCACACACACAGACACACACGCACACACACACAGACACACACGCACACACAGACACACACAAACACACACACAGACACACACAAACACACACAGACACGCACACTTGCACACACACACACACACACGCACATACAAGCACATACATGCCTCCTGGCCACATAAACAAACATATAAATACATCCAGTGATATAAATTTGATGGCACTATATAAATAATAAAATAATAATAATAATAATAATATAGACACAGATAGACACCAACATCACACATACATCCAGATTAAATCCCAAAATGACATTTATTATTCATTTTTTCACAAATATATGTTTTTCAGGGCTGACTGTTGATCAGTTTGGGTCTTTAATCAAACTTCATTTGAGCTACAATGTTACTGGTGTTTTTAACCTTAAATTCTCAGGACCAATCGAGGATTTCGTAGTGTCTGATAGCCTTGGTGATGTGTGGAAACCTGCAGAATGTGAGGCATGCCACAAAGGCTTCACCTAGAGGGGCATTAGCTGTGCTGCCAACCTTACTCTGCTAACACCCAGTTCTGTGCTCCCTGTCTAAACCAATAAAAACGAAAATGTCTCCCGTGCCCAAGTCTAATTGTTAGTTACCGTGCACATTGTCATTAATTACAAGCCGGTTATAAAGAAGATGTGGAGTATAACTCCCATCACTCTCAGACAGGATACAGTTCAAACCATATTGAAAGCTGGTATTTTTATTGTGGTAGCCAGCTGTATAATTGTAGTTTACTGGGTTTTAAACAAAGTACTTTCTAAACTCCCTAACCTTAAATCCCGATTCAGTAATTTAATGACATAGGATTACTGCACAGAGTTCACTATACCCCATGCTATTACTGTGCCCTGTACTGCAATAATAACCCAAAACGACACAATATTATGCATCTGTGCAGTAATTTGAATTTGTGATATAAATCAGCGATCTCTCGGAAGATTGAGCAAATCATTATGAGTGAAGGGCGGTCCACCCTAGACATGCTTATACCATTGAATTTTCATAACTAACAATAATTTGTCTACCAACGTAAATTATGTGTGAAAAACACACAAACATAAACTATTACAAGACAATATGACAGATTTTAGTGGATAAAGTGGCATTATTTGGATTTCACATTTCATACTGTATTATATCATTTTGTGGGGAAGTTTTGGTCAACGTGATTGCTACTTACATTATAGTAACTTATTACCAAAATTTGAAAAATTCTAAAATTGAAACACGAATGTGCTCATTGCAATATGTGATCTATAAATGCCGAAATAGATGAAACCCATTGGCTTACAAGGGATTTTCAAAGATAGGATAAGTAAATCGAATCATTTTTAGATTTACTTCTCTGGATAATTTTGCACTAGTTTTCAGAAATCATAATAGTTAAATCTGTGGAAAAAAAGTTTAAATACGTTTTTGAACCAGTCAGTAATGGAGAAACTAATATTTTCTAATTCCAGTTTTATAAGTCTCAGGATCCCCATCCAACAGGGAGCTGAGAGTCATGGTAGAAACTTTTTTTTTTGGATACTCCTGCTCTGTTTTTTTGAATTGTGTTTTTTTTATCCCATTAATTTAGCATTATATTTATATATTAGTGTAGGACCCACCGATATTAAAATACTGTGACGTAATGGTGGGTGTAACACAATATGGCCGTATGGTGGAACTGAATCCCCATATTTGTTTGGTAATTTAGGTGACTTTCTAAAATTGAAAACTGTACTTTTATGTGTGAGCTGTTCCTTAATCTGTATTATTAATCATTTAAAGAGACAGCAGCTAACCGTTATGACAGTGTACAAAATATTTGCAAAAAGTGACCGAGACTAAATCAGAAGGACAATACTGATAATAACTTCCATTAAGCCAATCAGAGCTGGACACGTGTCAGAAACAACCCCAGTGTGAGAAAGCCCTGCTCACTTTATTGTATAGACTTTGTATGTATGTTGTAATGGTTGTTTTACATGTGCTGTCTCTTTAAATAATGACACATGACTATTTATTTGTGTTGTGCATCCTTTTGCTTTCTTGGTTATTAAATCAATCATTTCCAGTCTATGTATTTTCTGTACTTTTATTTATTTTTAATTAATCGTAGTTTTTTTTTTATTTACACGTTAGAAGGGATTATTTTTTCTGATGGCGGCGGGATCTTTGGTAAATGTTAGTGATGGGCGGAGCTTAAACAGCATTCCATTTCAGTTGCAGATTTACCCACAATCCATCAGTGAAAGGCAAACAGCAGACAATATGGAGGGAGGAGAACAAAATGGCGGCAGCACACACAATGTTTTATTTATTTAAACTATACCAGTGGCTGACACAGTGCCCACATGTAATGGTTACCATGACAACATGAATTAATGAAGCCACCACCCCATCGCTGCTAACCCACAACAGGCCCCAGAGGAACCAAAGCCAAGTTAAATAGAGAAATGTACTCAGTGCTGCACATACAATGTACGATGGGATCACCGCTGGGACGGCCATAATGTCAGAGCAGACGGCAATGCTCTCCAGCTAAACAGCAGGTCGGGGAAATCACTGAATCATCACAGCATTGGCAACCACCAAAATCTTACTCCACAACCTCAGAGACCCCCAATAAACTCCCGATAAACCCCCGCCATGGCACTGCTCACACAGCAAGGGGCAAGCAGTGTGGACAGGACGGAGAAAGAAACAGGCTGGGGAATGAAGGGCTGCCAGCAACAGGACATAGTGGGCCAAGCCGCCTGACTGCATCTCGTAAACTGGCCGCCATGATTCCCCCCATGTAACTGGCATCCGGTGTCGTTCACCATCATTACCCGCTATGGGAGGCTCTACTAAATGGACTTTCCTGGAAATACTGGATAGATACGGACACCATCACAGGCCGTTATTGGATCTGCTAAATGGACGTACCTGGAAATACTGGACAGATACGGACACCATCACAGGCCGTTATTGGATCTGCTAAATGGACGTACCTGGAAATACTGGACAGATACGGACACCATCACAGGCCGTTATTGGATATGCTAAATGGACCTTCCTGGAAATACTGGACAGATACGGACACCATCACAATCCGTTATTGGATCTGCTAAATGGACCTTCCTGAAAATACTGGACAGATACGGACACCATCACAATCCATTATTAGATCTGCTAAATGGACCTTCCTGGAAATACTGGACAGATACGGACACCATCACAATACTGGACATATACGGACACCATCACAATCCGTTACTGGATCTGCTAAATGGACCTTCCTGGAAATACTGGACAGATACGGACACTATCACAATCCGTTATTGGATCTGCTAAATGGACCTTCCTGGAAATACTGGACAGATACGGACACCATCACAATCCGTTATTGGATCTGCTAAATGGACCTTCCTAGAAATACTGGACAGATACGGACACCATCACAATCCGTTATTGGATCTGCTCAATGGACCTTCCCGGAAATACTGGACATATACAGACACCATCACAATCCGTTATTGGATCTGCTCAATGGACCTTCCTGGAAATACTGGACAGATACGGACACCATCACAATCCGTTATTGGATCTGCTAAATGGACCTTCCTAGAAATACTGGACAGATACGGACACCATCACAATCCGTTATTGGATCTGCTCAACGGACCTTCCCGGAAATACTGAACAGATACTGACACTAACGCTAAACCTCCGCAGTAACGAGCATGTTGAGCTGGTAGCTCTGTGGGTGAGTTATAGAGACCCAGATCGCTCCGGTAAATTCAGGCTGACATTAAACTATATACAAAGACCAACTGCCCACCCAATTTCTTAAATAAAAATAAACTTTAAATCGCACCATAATTTTATTAAAATCCAAATTGATATATAGACACATATATGTACAAATCACAGGGATATGGCAGCAGTAAGTTATAAATTCCTCAGTATAGTCTATATATACAGAAGGATGCAGAGTATAATGTCTGTGTGTTAAATCAATACATGTAATAAATGACTGAAAACTAAATATAAAAAACTCCTGTACAAAGTGTTTTACCTCCTTGTGTAGATACATAAATGATAAAGTGATAAGTGATAAAATGACACCAGAAGCTCCCAATGTTTCGGCCTGAATAGCCTTCATCAAGGGTGATGCTTGGGCTAAAAATAAATATAAAAAGACAAGCTCTCCTCCCTTCTCCCGGCCTCACGGTATAGATAATATGTTATGTGATAGTTAAATGTGAGCCTGGATTTACATTGCTTTTGTGGCATGAACCATCTGGCAATTATACTCAGGTTATATTTATCCTAAGAGGCTCCATTTTGCCCTAATATTTTGTGGACTTTCTGGACTTAAACATTAATTTCAATTCATTTAAATTTGTGATATTAATATATAATATAATTTACATGTACTTTATTCTATTTTAAGAGGTTGCTATACCCCAGTAACTTGCCCTTTGGAGATGCTCTGACCAAGTTGTCTAGCCTTCACTGTTTGGTCTTCGTCAAAGTCCTCAGATCTTTTCTCTTGTCCATTTTTCCTCCTTTTCTTTGTCCATTTTTCCACCACCCATTAAGCATGTTTCCTCCTGCCAACACATGAAATTCAAGAATTGACTGTTCACTTGCTGCCCAATATCCCATCCCTTGACAGGTGGCATTGTAACGATATAATCAATGTTATTCACTTCAACTGTCAGTGGTTTAATGTTGTGGCTGATCAGTGTATGTCCCTTCACCTCTCATTAAATCCCTCTCCCATCATTTACACCAAACCTTACAAAACAAACTTACACAATGAAGGGCAAAACACACAAAGTGTAGGGGTGGTATATCAGTGCAACTCCACAGTGTTTTAAAACCACTTAAAAAACACAAGTAAAACAATATATAAATATATAAATATCCAACATGGTGATTATTGTTTTATGCACTTTGAAAAAGACTCTACTTTAGTCGAAACGCGTTAGTGCTGCTATTCTTTTTTATGCACTTTATATATGTCCCTGTATATTTAGTGCTGCTATTCTTTTTTATGCACGTTATATATGTCCCTGTATATTTGTGAATGCTATTAAATTTTGAAAAGTATCCCCACTCTTTATTGGAATTATTACATCTTCTGTATCCTGGCACAAGTGGAGAGTCCTGGAGACGTGGTGGAGTTCAGCATACCAGGGAATTATTAAAGAGCAACTATAGTCAGAGCCTACTAAATGTGGATCTTTTTGTATATAGGTTACATTTAAAGGACTGACCAGTGTCTCTAAGTATACCATATACATTTGTATTTGCACTCCTCTATCTCTATCCTTTACTTGTAATTTACACCAAACCTGTACATCCCCACCCACCTTCCAGTCACCTACACCCAGCCTGGATATTCCCACCTACCTCTATGTCACCTACACCCAGCCTGGATATTCCCACCTACCTCTATGTCACCTACACCCAGCCTGGATATTCCCACCTACCTCTAGGTCACCTACACCCAGCCTGGATATTCCCACCTACCTCTATGTCACCTACACCCAGCCTGGATATTCCCACCTACCTCTATGTCACCTACACCCAGCCTGGATATTCCCACCTACCTCTAGGTCACCTACACCCAGCCTGGATATTCTCACCTACTTCTAGGTCACCTACACCCAGCCTTGACATCCCCACCCGCCTTCCAGTCACCTACACCCAGCCTGGATATTCCCACCTACCTCCAGGTCACCTACAACCAGCCTGGACACATGATTCTCATATAGTCAATGATTTAACTCCAAACTGGTTTAAATCTAAATTACATAATGTATCCTTGTAACTCATCTGGAAACATTCTCCTATTCAGCTATAAAGCTATAAGGGGGTGAGCAAAGGGAGGGCTGATTTAATCACATCCACATAGGTAACTAAAAACATCCTGCATCCAGGTGCAACTGACCCCTGGCTCACCCCGACCAAATTATCTCGGAAATTGTAACGCATATCCCAAAAGTATATTAAATAGTAATGTCATCTAACTAGCAAACTGAAATGGAGAAGATTATCACAAAATGCCCTAACCTTCAAAACCATATAAACAAAAGATTATCAACATTAATTCAATATAGAATGAACCATGTAGAATGAACAATATGTTAGCATAACAGTACAGGTGTGCAATGAAGAATGTGTAGCCAGAACTAGCAAAACAAAACATAACATACACAAAAATATTTTTATTTATTTATTGACAATATAACAGTAGTTGGCACAAGGCCCACATGCAGTCGTTTCTATCGGTCGCAGAACATGGAGGTGGTCCTGGTGCAAGACTTTTTTTTTGCTCTCACAATGCTTTGCAAGCTAGGGATCAACCATTTGTCCATTCTTACAGGGTTGTATTTAGCACCGAGCAGTGTTTGTGTGTTTGAATGTAAGCATGTTTTTGTATGGTGTATGTGTGAGTGAATGTAAGGGTGTATTTGTATGTAGTGTTGTGTGTTTTTATGTACTGTTGCCATTTGAAAGCAGTGGATTACTTGTGTAATACCCACACCCACACATAGATAGACACACTGACACACACCCAGTTTCACAGACACAGAGAAAGACACATAGATACACACACACTGACACACACACAGTTTCACAGACACACAGAAAGACACAGAGATATACACATTGACACACCCAGTTTCACAGACACACAGAAAGACACAGAGATACACACACTGACACACACACAGTTTCACAAACAGAGAAAGACACATAGATACACACACACTGACACACACAGTTTCACAGACAAACAGAAAGACACAGATATACACACACTGACACACACACAGTTTCACAGACACACAAAAAAACACAGAGATATACACACTGACACACACACACAGTTTCACAGACACACAGAAAGACACAGAGATACACACACTGACTCACACATAGTTTCACAGACACACAGAAAGACACTGAGATACACACACACAGTTTCACAGACACACAGAAAGACACAGAGATACACACACTGACCAACTGGAAAGTTTCACAGATACAGAGAAAGATACATAGATACACACAGTGACATACATATAGATGCAAAGACACACAGATACATTCCCAGCATCCCTAGATTGTGAAGGACAGGCCATGGATGACTTAGTCTTCAAATAAAAAGGTGTTACTTAGCAGAAAAAATAAAATTCTTCTGTGGTGTCTGTCTCTTGATACGGTGTCTGCAACAAGAAGTGATATGTAATTAGTTTAGCATCATATGGCATTGCCTACTTCTTACATATAAATAACAATGTACTGTTTATTATGGTCACAGTGATGGTGGGGAGCAATTATTATTATTGGCATTTATATAGTGCCAATAGATTCTGTATCGCTTTACAATATTATAAGGGGGGTATTTAACAATAAGTAAGACAATTACAAAAACTTACAGGAATGATAGGTTGAAGAGAACACTGCACAAACAAGCTTACAGTCTATAGGAGGTGGGGTATAAAACACAATATGACAGGATATAGCAATCAAAAAGAGTAGGAGTGAAGCAAAACTGGAGGAGAGATAGAGTGCTGCTTTTTAGGAGAGAGCAAGGGACAGGTATGTGAGGTAGAGGTTCATCTGGGAGGCCATACGCTTTCCTAAAGTGATGGGTTTTAAGGCACTTTTTAAAGATTGAAGACTAAAGGAGAGTCTGATGGGGGTAGGCAGGCTATTCCTAAGGAAAGGAGCCATCCGTGAGAAGTCCTGCAAGCGTGAATTGGCGTTAAAGGTGCAAGCAGCAGACAGGAGAAGGTCATGGGCAGAGCGTAGAGATCGAGAAGGGGCATACCTACGGATCTGTGAGGAGATGTAGGAGGGGATAAAATTGTTCAATGCTTTATAGGTATGGATTAGTACTTTGAATTGATTCCTATAGGATACAGGAAGTCAATGTAAAGACTGGCAGAGGGGTGAGGTGTGAGAGGACCAACTGGAAAGGAAAATCAGTCTGGCAGCAATATTCATTACAGACTGTAGCAGGGCAATACGGCTTTTGGGAAGACCAATTAGGAGAGGGTTACAATAATCCAAGCGAGAGATCACTAGAGCATGGACAAGCTGCTTGGTAGCATCTTGCATAAAAAAGAAGCGCATGCGGACTATGTTTTTAAGATGGAATCTACAGGATTTGGTAAAAGACTGGATGTGAGACTCAAAGGTGAGGCCAGAATCAAGTATGATGCCAAGACAGTGCGCTTGCAAGGATGGACTGATGTGGGTTCCATCAACTTGAAGGGAAAGCGAGAGAGGATAATCAATATTAGTAGGAGGAAAGACAAGAAGTTCAGTTTTAGAGAGATTGAGTTTCAGAAAGTGGAAGGACATGCAGTCAGCGATGGAAGAAGGGCAAGCAGTGACACATTGCAGGATGGCAGGGGAGAGGTACGGGGAGGAGAGATATATCTTGGTGTCATCGGCGTACATGTGGTAGTGGAATCCAAATGAGGTAATAAGTTTGCCAAGAGATGCAGTATAAAAAGAAAATAGAAGGGGATCAAGGACAGAGCCTTGGGTGACTCCAATCGAGACAGGACGAAGGGAGGAGGTGTCATTAGAAAAGGAGACACTGAATGAGCATTGGGACAGATAGGAGGAAAAACACGAGAGGACAGTGTCACAGAGACACAGAGTGATTGAAGAGTTTGAAGAAGTAGAACATGATCAACAGTGTTAGCAATTAATAAATAAATAAATATATAAAATTCTTTTTAAATGGAACCCTTCTCTTGGATATGATTACTGGTGGATCAAGGAATCGGTTTTCATGCTGTTGTGGTGGAATTATTATTCTTTATAATCTTTCCTCAGTTTGTAAATACTGATTATTTGTGTACTTACCAGCAATGACAAGAATGGACAGGTCACTTTGCCCCTCTCTAGATCTTCCCAATTAATGTTTGTGTAGAAGGGGTGCCCCCGAATGTTCCTTCCTGCCACAGCACGTGCATTAGGATCCTTATCCAGGAGCTAGTAAGAGAGAGAGCATACACTGAGTATAATTTACTTTATATCTCTGAACTGTAACACTTTGATGTACAAACTTTAATGCATTCAAAACCAATCACCTCTGATGGAGGACGCCATTTTAACCTTCTAACAAACCTCAGATGAGGCAGTGCTTATGAAAAGTTTGTGGTAAATGTGTTACATTAACTAAAATCTCAATTATATGACTGATCAGCAAATTTAATTTGTTGTAAATAATGTTTTTTTTAATTTAGATTTCCTCTTGTGTTGTCCGGAACATAAAATGGCTGCATGATCTGTCTGTCGGTTGCAGGCAGAGAGTAATAAATAGGATTAATAAATGAAAAGAAGAAAATAGGCTCTGATCCAGAAGTCCCAAAACAATGAGGGACCAATGGAGCAGTGCCAAAGGATGCCCACTGTTACTCTCCCTAAATCTGGGGAATAACACACAATGTACAAAGTAAAGATAAGAGTGGACTGGAGTGTCCTAGTGGGAGAGTTAACATAAAAAGAAGAGGGGGAAAAAGCAGATTTTTGGGGATTTCTACGGGTATCCGTGTACGCAATTATATACGCTGGTAATAGTAATAACTAGTTGTCTCTCACCTTGTCCTGTTTTAGGGTTCTGATACTTTTCCACACTATTGTTTTTCCCCTAGGATTATTAAAAGGTATGGCTTCCCTCTGCTTTTTTCCCCTCTTCTTTTTATGTTAACTCTCCCACTAGGACACTCCAGTCCACTCTTACCCTTAATAAATAGGATTACGTATTGTAAATTAAATGTCAGTGTTTTTATCTGCCATCATTATTAAATGTTAGTATTAACCCATTAAACATCAGGATTTAAATCATTTCAGGCATTAGATAAACACCCCAGCACTCCATGCCGCTATCAAACCCGTGCAAAAGGGGGCGACAGCCATGAATGTGGAATACTGAAGCTTCTCAGCACGGAACACAAGTTACTTTCACTATTCCAGTTGGTTCTTTAACCTGTTTAGTACATACTCCAAGAAATATAACTAGTATCGATTCCCAGTAACACCCCCCCCCCCACCCATATCTCCACCAGTATTTTCTTTAATGTTTCTTTACATCCCCTATCATTACATCCAATTAAAACCTTAACCGGCACATTCTCTATCACCTTACCTTGTCCAGGAGGTCTGTAGGATTGCTGCACAGCCAGGTGGGGTAACGTGGGTCAGTGTTTAATACTTCCTTGATGTACTCCTGTCGGCTGAGCTTGTTATTAAATGGGAACTTTCCGGTGATCATGCGGCAGAGAATTACGCCAAATGACCACCAGTCTGCTGATTGGCCGTACAGTTTGTTGCTGAGTACCTGGCAAAACCCATAAGATATGCAATTTTATTAAATATGGTATTAAATGTACCAAACCTATCACATTCTAGAGATCTTCATACATTACCCATCTTTTTATTATTAGGCTAGTCCAATAGCGTTCTTGTCAGTGCATCCATTAATACTCCGATACTGCCCTTATACCCAGCTCGTGTTAGTCATCCTTCTACTGCTCGTTATACACCCCTTTAGCTACTGCATTGCTCTTATACCACTCCTCGTAACTCCTCCCCCTACATTCCACGTAACCACACCCTCTAACTAACCTCTGGCGCCATGTAAAGCAGTGTGCCAGCGTGTCCTCTGGTTGTTGTATCTGTAAAGATATTTTCTGCTGAGAGACCAAAGTCAGCTATTTTGAGATAGCCGTTGGCACCCAGGAGAATATTATCTGGCTTCAGATCCCTAAATGATGAAGACAGATATAAAGGTGAGATATAGGACAGAGCAGAGATATAAACACATTATTTCTTGTTAGAGTAAGTTACCGCTTACTGAATAAACTAACGCTAATACTGACCGATGAAGGATCCCCCGGGAATGGAGGTACTGGATCCCACAAACAAGGTTTGATGAAAAGAACCTGGAAAACAGAATATAAAGAATATAAAGCAATCTCCCCCAAACATTAATAGTAAATAAAATAATAAAATATACCTGGGCAAGGTACGAGTATCTATACATCATGCTAAACACTGCGACCAATATGAACATAACATTTTTATTTTAAACTAAACAGGACCTGTCCTTGGGAGATTAGAGTTTACTTTATTACCATTAATATTGTTATTAAAACCATCAGTGTTTTAATTTGGAACATGACTGTCCCTTGATATATTATCCATTGAACCCTTCTCGGTTCTCTGCCATAAAGCACAAGCTGCTCTATGATTCTTCAAGTCCCCTCCAATTTGTTAGATGTACAAATCAATAATCTATAAACATATGAATTTATTACGAAGATCCATGGTCATAGCAATTTGTATTTCAAGTGTGTAGAAGGAGATCCACCCTGAAGTCAGCTTAGCGCTGCGGCAGGTCAGCTGACCCCTAGTGGCTCCCGATCTGCCGTCAGTCAGTACAGAACGTATCCCACTGCTAGTCCTGAGTTTCTTTTTTTGTTTGTTTTAGACAATCTTTATTTTTATTTTTAAATCGAACAAAGCAGGTAGAATTATGTGAACACATGCAGTAATGCCTCAGACAGACACAGAATTAGTTATTAATAAGGAAAACATCTAAAAAGTTCTAAGTTGCCTCTGTATATCGAAAGATGGGTGTTTGGGCATGCATGTCAATAGTAACTTTCCTAGCAGGAAGTACCATGTAAAGCATAGTAATATACGATATCATCAGATGGAATCCATGATATCAACCGATTATCCAACTCGTCAACCATTTAAGCCATCACGTATTCCAGAAGGATGTAAGATTCTCCGTCCTCAGCTAGTGAGCGAGATACCACTGAGGAGGAGGGGAAAAAAAGGGAGGGAAGAGAGAGAAAGAAAGAATAAATAGGACACGAGCATAGAATAGGATCAGAGCTGGGTTTCTTGTATTGCCCATTGTCTGGCTGATATTGAAGAAGGAATTCTGGTTTAGTACATTACTGTTAACCCAGTCTGTACCCCTGATGGATCTCCATTAATAGTCCTACTATTGAGGGTATATGTATATATCCTTACATTCCTGTATCGTGTGTTAAACTCACTCCTTCCTCCTACCTGCTAGAGCTATTAACGACTCACCTTGCTTCCCCCATGGGCAGACATTCCTTTCCAGCCATGTAAGAACGGAGACTGCCCCCTGGTACGTGCTCCATGACCAGGGAGGCTTCCTTCTGTTTCACAAGAGAGATAACATATATCCAGTTAATATATATATTGTAATAATAATAACAGAACACAATCAGCCGTATAGAAATATATAGAAATAAGGAAACATTATGGACAGCGTTTCTTACCTGGGTCTGGAAGGCAGCGAGTCCCTGACATAGGAATGGACTGCCGCTCGCCATTTGCAGTATCCGCTCCTCCTTCTGAATGGTCCTTTCCTTAACTTTATCTTTCTTTATTACTTTAATTGCAACAACCTGACCTGTGTCCTTGGTGGAAGCTAGCACAACCTGAGCATCACATAGAGAGAGGAGAGAGCCTCGTATCAGCCACAATGTCACAAACGAAATGGGAAATTTTAGCTACTTTGTGATTTAAAACTTCATTCAGTGGGGACATATTACAGATATCACGTGGTAACATCACTTCAACACCACCTGAGGGATGTCTATACAGAGCTTGGGAACCTACCTGAAACAAACCTACATAAAGAATAAATATACCGTATATACTCGAGTATAAGCCGACCCGAATATAAGCCGAGGCCCCTAATTTTACCCAAAAAAACTGGGAAAACGTATTGACTCGAGTAGTTGACTAGGGTGGGAAATGCAGCAGCTACTGGTAAATTTCTAAATAAAATTAGATCCTAAAAAAATTATATTAATTGAATATTTATTTACAGTGTGTGTATATGATGAATGCAGTGTGTGTGTATGAATGCAGTGTGTGTATGAGTGCAGTGTGTGTATGAATGCAGTGTGTGTATGAATGCAGTGTGTGTATGAGTGTGCAGTGTGTGTGTATGAGTGCAGTGTGTGTGTATGAGTGCAGTGTTTGTATGAATGCAGTGTGTGTGTATGAGTGCAGTGTGTGTGTATGAGTGCAGTGTGTGTGTGTGTGTGTGTGTGTGATGCAGTGTGTGTTTGTGTTGCAGAGCCTTGGTGGGGGGGTGGGCATTTTTATAAAAAAAATTTATTTTTATTTTTTATTATTATTATTATTTATATTTATATATTATTATTTATTTATTTTTTGTCCCCCCTCCCTGCTTGATACATGGCAGGGAGGGGGGCTCTCCTTCCCTGGTGGTCCAGTGGCATTGGCAGTTCAGTGGGGTGAGGAGGGGGGCTGGCAGAGCTGTTACTTACCTCTCCTGCAGCTCCTGTCAGCTCTCTCCTCCTCCGCGCCGGTCCGTGCAGCTCTTCTGTCAGCTCACACTGTAAGTCTCGCGAGAGCCGCACTATGACCCCGCGGCTCTCGTGAGACTTACACTGGGAGCTGACCGAGGTGCTGACCGGACCGGCGCGGAGGAGGAGAGAGCTGACAGGAGCTGCAGGAGAGGTAAGTAACAGCTCTGCCAGCCCCCAGTCTGTATTATGGCAATGTAAATTAATGTAAATTGCCATAATACAGACACTCACTCGAGTATAAGCCGAGTTGGGGTTTTTCAGCACAAAAAATGTGCTGAAAAACTCGGCTTATACTCGGGTAGCGGTACTTAGCTCTGGAACCTACCTGAGAACCCTATATCAGGGATATATATACATAGCTCTGGGACCTACCTGAGAACCCTATATCAGCTCTGGGACCTACCTGAGAATATATCATAGCTCTGGGACCTACCTGAGAACCCTATATCAGGGATATATATACAGAGCTCTGGGACCTACCTGAGAACCCTATATCAGGGATATATATACATAGCTCTGGGACCTACCTGAGAACCCTATCAGGGATATTGATAGCTCTGGGACCAACCTGAGAACCCGATATACACAGCTCTGGGACCTACCTGAGAACCCTATATCAGGGATATATATACATAGCTCTGGGACCTACCTGAGAACCCTATAATAGGGATATATATACACACAGCTCTGGGACCTACCTGAGAACCCTATATCAGGGATATATATACACAGCTCTGGTACCTACCTGAGAACCCTATATCAGGGATATATATACATAGCTCTGGGACCTACCTGAGAATCCTATATCAGGGATATAGATAGCTCTGGGACCAACCTGAGAACCTGATATACATAGCTCTGGGACCTACCTGAGAACCCAATATCAGGGATATATATACACAGCTCTGGGACCTACCTGAGAACCCTATTATAGGGATATATATATACACACAGCTCTGGGACCTACCTGAGAACCCTATATCAGGGATATATATACACAGCTCTGGTACCTACCTGAGAACCCTATATCAGGGATATATATACATAGCTCTGGGACCTACCTGAGAACCCTATATCAGGGATATAGATAGCTCTGGGACCAACCTGAGAACCTGATATACATAGCTCTGGGACCTACCTGAGAACCGTATATCAGGGATATATATACATAGCTCTGGGACCTACCTGAGAACCCTATTATAGTGATATATATATACACACAGCTCTGGGACCTACCTGAGAACCATATATCAGGGATTTATATACACAGCTCTGGTACCTACCTAAGAACCCTATTTTAGAGATATATATACATAGCTCTGGGACCTACCTGAGAACCCTATATCAGGGATATATATACACAGCTCTGGGACCAACCCAAGAACACTATATCAGAGATATATATACATAGCTCTGGGACCTACCTGAAAACCCTATATCAGGGATATATATACACAGCTCTGGGATCAACCTGAGAACCCTATATAAGGGATATATATACATAGCTCTGGGACCAACCTGAGAACACTATATCAGAGATATATATACATAGCTCTGGGACCTACCTGAGAACCCTATATCAGGGATATTTATACATAGCTCTGGGACCTACCTGAGAACCCTATTTCAGGGATATATATACATAGCTCTGGGACCTATCTGTGAACCCTATATCAGGGATATATATACATATCTCTGGGATCTACCTGTGAACCCTATATCAGGGATATATATTCATAGCTCTGGGACCTACCTGAGAACCGTATATCAGGGATATATATACAGAGCTCTGGGACCTACCTGAGAACCCTATATCAGGGATATATATATACATAGCTCTGGGACCTACCTGAGAACCCTATATCAGGGATTTATATACACAGCTCTGGTACCTACCTGAGAACACTATTTTAGGGATATATATACATAGCTCTGGGACCTACCTGAAAACCCTATATCAGGGATATATATACACAGCTCTGGGATCTACCTGAGAACCCTATATAAGGGATATATATACATAGCTCTGGGACCAACCTGAGAACACTATATCAGAGATATATATACATAGCTCTGGGACCTACCTGAGAACCCTATATCAGGGATATTTATACATAGCTCTGGGACCTACCTGAGAACCCTATTTCAGGGATATATATACATAGCTCTGGGACCTACCTGTGAACCCTATATCAGGGATTTATATACATAGCTCTGGGATCTACCTGTGAACCCTATATCAGGGATATATATTCATAGCTCTGGGACCTACCTGAGAACCCTATATCAGGGATATATATACAGAGCTCTGGGACCTACCTGAGAACCCTATATCAGGGATATATATACATAGCTCTGGGACCTACCTGAGAACCCTATATCAGGGATATATATACATAGCTCTGGGACCTACCTGAGAACCCTATATCAGGGATATATATATATATATATATATATATATATATACACACAGAGATCGAGAATGATTGCTGTGTAAGGGACATATAAATCTAGATTGTAACTAAGGTCTCAATTTAATATTTTTGGATAAACTTTGATAATCAAATAATCACAATCTGTTAGAATGTTTTTATAAATGAATTATGTACAGCATTTTCCTATAGCCTGTAATGACTTCAGTAGATGAATAATTTGAAAAGAGATTGTGATCATTTGAAAAGCTTACCCAAATATTAAATTCAGACCTATGTCTGTAATTCTAATGTGAATAATCAGAGTTTAGAGAAAGATACAAAGATTCAGTAGAACTACAAATAGATATCACACACCAAAACCATATACTTCTATTTAAAAAAAAAAAAATTTTCCTCACAATTTCTGTTTCATTTTCAACTACACACCTTATACCACTAACATGAATCCTAATATAACCATACTGTTATTCTTAATAACCCTTTTCTCAATCCAATTTTGTTCACACAACTACCAGCATAAGCACACACCTCAAACTGGAACACAAATTATAATACACCATGGCCTGCTCTGTTCCTTTAACTTATCTGCTGAGTGCTGGTGGAGAGTTATAAAAAATAGCCCTCCTACCCCAAACTCACAAAATTATCCCATTCACTATATGGCCAAACAAAGATGATGTCCAAATTCCTACTCCTTATGTTACTTGCCCTTGCAAATGATGTGGAGTCTAACCCTGGTCCCCCAGCTAATTCTAGTCCTAATCTCCCCACTAAAAAAGGCCTCTCTTTTGTGCACTGCAACATCCGTAGTTTACTCCCTAAACTGGATGCACTGCAAGCCTGGTGTTCCCATTACAAACCAAAAATCATTGTGCTCTCAGAATCATGGTTAACGGCTAAAATACCAGACACCGCCATTGCAATACAGGGTTATTCATGTTTTAGAAATGACAGAGCAAAGAGAGGAGGAGGCATTGTTATTTATGTTGACAATTCCATAAAGTTTACCCCTTTACAAAACCTTAGTCCTCCTGCTATCTTTGATTTCCTTTCTGGCACAATTGAGATCCCGTGCAGTAAATCCATCATTGTTGCAGGAATCTACCGCCCACCTAGCTCTCCTGTGCATTCCCTTTCTGACATAGCCCATCTCCTTAGTGAAACCATAGCTCAAAACCCAAAAAGTGAACTGTTGGTCTTTGGAGATTTTAATATTGATTGGCTGAACCCTAAAAATAATAGTTCTTGCACGCTGTTTAAGACTTTGCAGCTAACGCAATTAATCTCCTCCCCAACTCGCATAAACATTAAAAGCCATAAACATACCCTGCTAGATTGGATTCTCTGCACTTCTCCTGATAGAATCCAGGAGGTTGGTGTTCTCCCCAACACGTTCAGTGATCACTGTTTAGTGTACTGCGTTCGCAAAATAAAGGCTATTAAATCCTCTCCCAAGGTTAAAATAACTAGGTCCTTCAAAAAATTTAATCTTGAATCCTTTTTAAATGACATCAAGAATCTCTCATGGCACAGATTAAACATTATCCCAGATCTAGACTGTGCTGTTGAATACTTTCAGTCTGAACTCCTTCAAATCTGGAATTTGCATGCCCCGCTGCGTAAGGTGAGGGTAAAGGAGCGCATATGAACTGGATCACAGCTGACCTCATCCAAATGTACCAGTTTCGGGATTCTTTGTGGTCAAAGTTTAAGCGTACTGGCTCTATGAATGATCACGGTGCATATAGACAATGGCGAAATATATGCACAAAACAGACAAAACTGGCCAAGGCCCAATATTTCTATGAAAATCTGAACAGTAACATCTCAAACCCTAGAAACTTTTGGAAAGTCATAAATAAACTACAAACTCCCCCAATCCACTCCCAACCCTCCACTGTCAAAGTGGGTAACCAAACCCTGCAACTTCCTTTAGATGTTGCAAATGCCTTTAACAATTATTTTGTCGGATGCTCTACTGCCCTGATTGACAAGCTAATAAATGACACGCATCCTGAAACTACAAATGTGGATCAGGCCCCACTAAATTTGCAAAGGCCCAATATAGATAAGTTTAATTTTAGACCTGTACCTGTTAGTGTCATTAAAAAACATCTTAATAATCTAAAAATGAAAAACCAGTCCGGACCTGATCAAATCCCAGCAATGCTGTTGAAGCTCAGTGCGCCGGCAATTGCTAAACCCGTCTCAACTCTAATTAACGAATCCTTGGTGTCTGGATACATACCCAAACTTTGGAAGACTGCGAGAGTAGTGCCTATCCATAAAAGTGGTGACACTACTTTGGTTTCTAACTATCGCCCAATATCATTGCTCCCAGTATTGTCAAAAATCTTAGAAAAATGTGTCCATGCGCAACTATGTGAGTACTACCAACAATTAAACTATCTGACCCTGATCAATCGGGCTTTTGCCAGAATCACTCCACTACAACTGCCCTCTTAAAAGTTTGCAATGACATCCAAACTGGCATGGAACAAGGAGCCCTAACTGGAGCTATTTTCCTTGATTTTGCTAAGGCCTTTGACACAGTAGACCACGACATTCTACTGCACAAACTCGAAAACTCAGGTATTGGTGATCATTCTTTAAACTGGTTTCGATCGTATGTATCGGATCGCTCGCAATATGTGTCCATTTCTGACAGTGACTCCCTCCCTCTCCCGGTCACGTGTGGTGTTCCCCAGGGTTCCATTCTCGGCCCCCTACTATTTACATTATTTATAAATGATCTGCCTTATGTCTGCCAATCCTCAAATGTACACATGTACGCAGATGACACGGTAATCTATGCGAGCAAACCCAATCTACCGCAACTTGAGGCTTTGCTCCAAGACCAGTTTACAGAGGTAGAAAAGTGGATCGCAAAAAACAAACTCTTCCTGAACACTGACAAAACTGTCACAATGATCTTTGGAACAGTACCTAAATTGCACAAATTACACAATCCCCACCTATCCATCAAAACAAATTCAAATGGCACACTGACCGCAGTCCACTCTTTCAAATACTTGGGTATGATATTAGACCCCAATTTATCTTTTGGCCTGCACATAGAAAAGCTTGCATCTAAACTTTATCCAAAATTAGGTACCCTGTACAGAAACAAAGCCTGCCTAAGCCCTACAGTAAAGGAAAAGATTGTACAGCAAATGCTGATGCCAATCATTGATTATGGGGATGTAGTATATGCGTCTGCATCGCAATCCCACATTAATAAACTCAACACATTGTATAACTTGTTCTGCCGATTTGTGCTACAATGTAATTACAGGACCCATCATTGTGACATGCTAAAGGAACTAAACTGGCTGTCGCTGGAATCCAGACGCACCCTTCATCTTTCCAGCCTTGTTTTTAAGAGCTTCTCTGGGAAACTCCCACCCTACCTGAACAAAATGCTTTCCTTAGCTGTTCCCACTTTCTATAAGCTCCGATCCAGTACAAGCACTTTACTTAGTCTACCTCAATACAAAAAGAAAGCGGCCCGATCCTCCTTCCTACTGCCGCAATTGTGGAACGACCTCCCGCACAATTTAAAATCTTCCCTAAGCCTAAAGTCATTTAAGAGATCCCTCTCTATATACCTCAAAACAGAATGCACGTGTCATGGTTGATTATATATTTCCTGCCTGTTCTATGTTAAATTTTGTATATATTGTGTATTAATATTGTTTTGTATTTTGTTGTACCTAATGTAACAATGCAATGATTTGTGGACCCAGGACATACTTGAAAACGAGAGAAATCTCAATGTATCTTTCCTGGTAAAATATTTTATAAATAAATAAATAGTATTTTGTGCAACTTTTAGAATTGTATTTCATGTATCTATGGATGAAACCTATCACCTTCTTTTATTTATGTTTTCCCCTCACCTGCTTTTCATTATTCATAACTCGATTGTTTACTTTTCTTAGATTTTTGTTCCATATTGTTATCAATATGTTTTTCAATAATTGTTTAATAAAAATAATTTGAGAAGATTTAATAGAACTGTTAGTATAATAAGCCATGTTAAACATCCCATAATAGAAGAGTCCTGTAGATTATTTTTGGAGTCTCAATAAAATGTTCTAAATACTTTGCAGATGTTAATATGTTTTCCACATTCATGGATGATACACTGATTTACAAGAAAGTTAATCTCAACTAATTGTTATAGGAAGATAATGATGATTATGAGAGTTATAATCGTTCCCTACTAAATCAATAGATGTATTAAATAAGGTGTATACATTGCTCGTTGACTCACCTTTCCATAACTCCCCTGTCCCAGCACTTTGTGGAATCTGTAACCGGTGAATGACAGAGGCAGTGACTTCTTTGGTTCAACCACAGACTGTCCACTTACTCCTTAAAGAATGAACACATAATATTAGTCTCCACTTCAACATAAACACAGGAACCAACTTAATTTCTCTAGTACCCCTGATTCACCCTACAAATCTTCCGATCCCACCCAGTTATATGAAATAATAATATTGTTTGTAAATATCACATCATGGACCATTTCATTAAAAAGACTTTATAGTTTGTGGTACATTAGCCATGAATATCATTGGCTAATTCCTAATGGATGGATAAATATTCTAGATATATCAAAGGTCTTGAAATATTGGTCTGTACCATTATAGTTTAAAAAACCATCACCTGAACACTCATGGTCACCGAAGTACGGGAGATAGTGATTAAAGAGAGACAGTGAATGGGTTCAGAGTATGGTCAATTGAGGGAAAAATCTCTTATATTTTAAATTGACCAATCTGTTTAAAGCTTGTAGGTTCATCTTACCTGCCACACATTCATCGTCGCTCGTTGACTTGTTTTCTTTCTTAAAGCACTTTTTCTCTCCTATCTCCTCTTCATCTCTTTTCTCCTCTTCCTGCTTTCCAGAGGAGATCTTTATCTTTTTCTGCCTAACTTGTTCCTTCTCCTCCTCATCATATTCACTGCTTCTTTTCAGGGCTTGTTTTCTGGGTGGAGATGTCTGACTGCTTTTTCCAGCAGATTTTCTCTCACTTTTCTGACCCAGTTTTGGTGAGGAGGAGAGCTTTGGTCTTTTCTGCATGAGCTGCTCCCCATGATCGTATTCCCTGCTTCGTTTCAGGGCTTGCTTTCTGGGTGGAGATGTCTGATCGCTCTTTACAGCAGACTTTCTCTCACTTTTCTGATCCAGTTTTGGAGATGAGGAGAGCTTTGGTCTTTTCTGCATAAGCTGCTCCTCTTCATCATGACTAGAGGTCCTGTATCTTTTCTGACCTTGATATCTGATGCGTTCCTCAGCAAGGAGCCGTCTTTTGGGATCTCTCCCTCTCTCAATGTCCTGCTCATTGCAGCTCCTACTTCTCTTTCTCCTGGAATCTCCAGGAGATATCTGCTGTTCGTGCTCTTTTGAGCCGTTACTAAGTTTTCTATATTTGTTTTTAAATTCGTCAGAATTTTCCTGACTTACCTCAGTTTTCTTATGAGAACGCTTTCTTGTTCTCTTCATGCTTATATTATACTGTATGAATCTATTGCTTTCAAATTCACAAATATATTTAGCAATCAGCTAATTAATATTAGTAACAATAAATAAATTATTGCAAATCTCACTCAAGCAATGCAGTAGCCACTGTCCACTTGCAAGGTGTCCAGTCACTCTGAGGGTAGGTGAGTTTGACATTGATTGTTTCATCGGATGATGTCAGAGTGTTTACGATGTCACTACACCTGACCATATATGGAGATATGAACCAGTCAGTAATGGAGAAACTAATATTATCTTATCCCAGTTTTATAAGTCTCAGGATCCCCATCCAACAGTGAACTAGGAGTCATGGTAGAAACCTTTTTTGGATACTCCTGCTCTATAAGGGTGACAGGGAGATGTGACTGAGTTATTTTCATTCAATTAATGAATCAATCAATCTTTAAATAATAAAGACACTGTGCGGGTCCCTTCAGTCTTTGCTATGAAAGTTGTGTTTTGCCAGTAATTATCTGCTATATACTAACAACACACCCTAACTTTTGTTGTTTTTTTTATTTTACATTAAACCCTTCATGGGTGCTCCCAAAATAGTGATACCCAAGTACACACACACACACACACATACACATACAAGCACACACACAGACACACACGCACACACACACACACAGACACACACGCACACACAGACACACACAAACACACACACACAGACACACACAAACACACACAGACACGCACACTTGCACACACACACACACACGCACATACAAGCACACACATGCCTCCTGGCCACATAAACAAACATATAAAAACATCCAGTGATCTAGACAAGTATAGACACTCATACAGTGACACAAACATCACACATACATCCAGATTAAATCCAAAAATGACATTTATTATTAATTTTTTCACAAATATATGTTTTTCAGGGCTGACTGTTGATCAGTTTGGGTCTTTAATCAAACTTCATTTGAGCTACAATGTTACTGGTGTTTTTAACCTTAAATTCTCAGGACCAATCGAGGATTTCGTAGTGTCTGATTTCCTTGGTGATGTGTGGAAACCTGCAGAATGTGAGGCATGCCACAAAGGCTTCACCTAGAGGGGCATTAGCTGTGCTGCCAACCTTACTCTGCTAACACCCAGTTCTGTGCTCCCTGTCTAAACCAATAAAAACGAAAATGTCTCCCATGCCCAAGTCTAATTGTTAGTTACTGTGCACATTGTCATTAATTACAAGCCGGTTATAAAGAAGATGTGGAGTATAACTCCCATCACTCTCGGACAGGATACAGTTCAAACCATATTGAAAGCTGGTATTTTTATTGTGGTAGCCAGCTGTATAATTGTAGTTTACTGGGTTTTAAACAAATTACTTTCTAAACTCCCTAACCTTAAACCCCGATTCAGTAATTTAATGACATAGGATTACTGCACAGAGTTCACTATACCCCATGCTATTACTGTGCCCTGTACTGCAATAATAACCCAAAACGACACAATATTATGCATCTGTGCAGTAATTTGAATTTGTGATATAAATCAGCGATCTCTCGGAAGATTTAGCAAATCATTGTGAGTGAGGGGCGGTCCCTCCTAGACATGCTTATACCATTGAATTTTCATAACTAACAATAATTTGTCTCCCAACGTAAATTATGTGTGAAAAACACACAAACATAAAATATTACAAGACAATATGACAGATTTTAGTGGATAAAGTTGCATTATTTGGATTTCACATTTCATACTGTATTATATCATTTTGTGGGGACGTTTTGGTCAACGTGATTGCTACTTACATTATAGTAACTTATTACCAAAATTAGAAAAATTCTAAAATTGAAACACGAATGTGCTCATTGCAATATGTGATCTATAAATGCCGAAATAGATTAAACCTTTTGGCTTACAAGGGATTTTCAAAGATAGGATAAGTAAATCGAATCATTTTTAGATTTACTTCTCTGGCTAATTCTGCACTAGTTTTCACAAATCATAATAGTTAAATCTGTGGAAAAACAGTTTAAATACGTTTTTGTGCTCTTTCTATTTTTCTTTATATTATTTATACTATTGATATAATAGATATCTCTATATGTAGGATCTTACAAGAAAGCCATTTCTATCCTATAAACAAAACCCCAGCATTTAATATATGTAATATACACCTATTACGGGATATTACGTCTGAAAAAGCACATAACAACATTATTTGTGTCTAATATGCATCTCAACCTCCCCCCTCCCAAAAATTTTTAAATATCTAAAACAGTGTCCTTAAAGGGTTAAGGTGATGCTATTGCTTAATGTAAACTGGTGAGGAGCTATTATTTTTTAGAGCTTTATTAAAAATTAAACATTGAATTGGATAAATACTCAAAGTACCCTTATGCTATATATTAATATAATTTATAAAATGGAAGATTATTTGGGGCATTAAAAATTCTCATCTATCCTATTTTGCAGGATTTGGTATAACTTTATAGTAGGTCATTAAAGGACCACTATAGGCACCCAAACCACTTCAGCTTAATGAAGTGGTCTGGGTGCCAGGTCCAGCTAGGTTTAACCCTTTTTTATATAAACATAGCAGTTTCAGAGACACTGCTATGTTTAGAAATGGGTTAATCCAGCCTCTTGTGGCTGTCTCATTGACAGCCGCTAGAGGCGCTTCCGCACTTCTCACTGTGAAAATCACAGTGAGAAGACGCCAGCGTCCATAGGAAAGCATTATGAATGCTTTCCTATGAGACTGGCTGAATGCGCGCTCGGCTCTTGCCACGCATGCACATTCAGCCAATGAGGAGGAGAGGACGCGGAGAGCTCCCCACCCGGCGCTGGAGAAAGAGGTAAGTTTAACCCCTTCCTCCCCCTGGAGCCTGACGGGAGGGGGACCCTGAGGGTGAGGGCACCCTCAGGGCACTATAGTGGTCCTTTAAACATAAGATGAATAATATGACTTTTTAAAGCGACTCCTGCCTCCAGGTGGATTTAGGTCATGTGATACAGATATGAGACATTGTGGAGCCATCTTGAACTCATGGTTGGTTTTATTATATGACAGAATAAGTATAGCAATTTAAATGTAACGCTAACATTAACATAAGAACGACTTATGTCTAACCTGAAATAGTATCAGGTGCAATTGGAAAATGAGATTGTGCTTAAACTATGAGCTGATATCAGATCTTTGTCTTTAAAAAACACACAATACTAAACTTGTGTCTAACCCATGGCAGCCAGATATATGTTTATTTCTGATTGATAGACAGATGGAAAGATAGAGAGAGATAAGTAGAGAGAGAGAGAGAGAAATGTCGATCGATAGATAGAGAAAGATAGTAGACAGACAGACAATGTTTTTAAGCCTTTGATATAACTTGCTCTTATGATGGTTGGTCCATGCAGATCCTACGCCAGTATGGGCCCTTTAATTTAATATTTTTGGAAAAGCTTTTCAAATTATATTTTTAAAATATTAAAATATAAAACAATATATGAAATATATTAAAAATGTATCAATATATCACAACATAGTTAAATGCTAAAATATTTAAATATTTTTTTCAAAATATTAATTCACTTTAAAAGCTTACCCAACATTTTAAAATCACTTGAAAAACGTATTCAAACATATTAAATTGAGGTCATTGAATGAAAACAAACAATAAATACACAGAAATACTGAACAGATTCGCTAGCTGGGGTTACTGTTTAATTTGTTTTGTGTTAGTACATCAGTGTTTCTGCCAGAAGAACTCAATTAACAGAGGGAGATAGTCTAGACATACATTTTCCAGGAAATGACACCAGTAGACTTTTTTTGTTTAAAGAAAAACTTCAAGCACCATAACCACAACAGACTACTACAGTGAGCTATAGTGGTTACAGTGCTAGTTGTGACCTAGCTCCGCCCACTATAAGAAGCTAAACCCAATTAGAACCATTTGACTTTTTACCTTGGGGTCTGCCGGTTTCCGCTCCCCACCACCACTACTGATGATTAAGAGCTGGAAGCTCTCTCCCAGAGCTAATCCCATGCAGTGAGTGCTCTCAGCCAATAAGCTCGCCATACATTGCAGGGGCTAGCTTAGGGCAGTTAATGGAATCTCTTGTTTAGGAGCGTCTGACTTTCCATCAGCAGTAGTGGAGACGGGGCAATGACACTTGGCAAGCTGTTGAAAATTTGGTGCTTAATGTATTTATTTTAGGACAGGAAACACAACGCATTTCACTCTCTCAGCAGTGATTACTCAGTGTCTTGGAGACTTCATTTGAAGAACTTTGTATCATTCTTCTGGCATAGATCGACTTGTTATTTAACACTATACAGCCCTTATATCACAAAACGAGTAGGCCATGTCATATCAGAGGTTGGTTATAAAGCCGATTGCTAAAACGTGCTGGGATTATCATTGCTTCTTAAAGGGACAAGCTTGAAATGCTGCATTCCTCACGAATTCTGTATATAAGTCGATGCAGAATGAAGGAACTGGCTAGTTTCTATTGCGAGTGAGGTAATAGACGTCTAGATGTGAATAAACAATTTCTTCCTGAAAAATAAAGACAAATTAACAAAACATTTCAAATATCTGTTTAATGTAAACACTAATGCTTTTTATATCAAATATGCTATACTTCATAATGTGCCAAATTCTCTAAAACCAGCAAGTGAATCCCTCTGCTAGGATTACGGTTTGGATTAGGTGTAGGATTAGGTTTAGAGTTAGTGTTAAGATTTGGATTATGGTTAGGATTAGGACTAGTGGTATAGTTAAATGTTATGATTACCATTAGTAAGATAATTTCTCTGCTGAAATTAAACAAGGCATCCTTCTGCTGACATCAGCAGGAATTCACTATTATTGGGGTTAGGATTAGGGTTAGGATTGGGTGGTAGGATTAGGATTGTGGTTAGTTTTCAGATTAGAATTGATACATTGATTGATACATTGCAAAGCTATACATAGGGGGTATTGTACTCAGGGAATGTTGTTGGGTACAGTTTA